CTAAATGATGGCAATGTCAGTCTGTCTGTCTGTCCACCACTTTGTTCCAGACTGAAATATCTCAGCAGCATTGTGATAGATTGGCGTGAAATTTGGTACACACATTCATCAGGGACTTTAGTGATCCCAGACCTTTCATCTAAACTCACCACGTCAAAATGTAAAATTTGTACCTTGGCTTATGCCAAAATATCTGCACAACTAATGACATTCTCATCAACCTCAGCTGCAACTTTGTGTTTACTGCTTATGAGCAAATGTTAGCATACTAACATACTAGACTAGATTTTATACCTGCTTTGCATTAGCAAAGCATTGCCGTTCCCAAGCACAGCCTCACCGCACTTGTTGCATGACTGTGGACTCTTAAAGATAAATGCTAATAGTTTATTCAAGAAACCTCTGGCCCACAGAACATAGATTATACAAATACAAACAAGTACAGAAAAAGAAGAAACCATAAACAAGGGCTCAATGGCTGCATCTGATTGAAGTATGTAAACAGTTTGATTTGTAGATTAACATAGACGCTGTACAAGTTTGTAAGGCAACTTTCTCTTTAAGGCATCAAAAGCATCTGTAGCGTTTGTCACTAACATTTTTTCTGGCGCCACATCGGCCATGGTGAAGGTAAAGAGTGTGCCTAGTACAGATATTATGTATGGGCACCAGAGATGCAGACAGTAAATCAGGGAGCAGTAGGCCCTAAAAAGGTTTCCTTCACATGCATCGAGCATCGCCTGAACGCAGAAGTCTATTAGCTCTAATGTAATGGGAACAAGTCCTTGTCTGAGCTGTCACCACATAGGCTTGTAGTAATCACATTACCAGGGTTTTTGGTGGAATCAACATATTGCGGATTAGTATTAGACAGTAGTTGAAGTTGGCCTGAAGTTGCAGGCTGTAAAACCCAAGCAATGTGAAAAATATTCATTATGGTCGCTTTAAATATTTACTCAAAATTAAGTGAGTGGGAGGAATGTAGGTACGACTGACTGTTATTTAAACATGCAGAGTAAAAGTTTGATGAAAATATCAGTGATTATTGTGACATAGTAGAACAAGAATTTACATAAGTCTTTTTCAGACTATGCAGTAAGGCACATCCAGCTCACGTGGGCACAGGGAGGCACGCTCCTGAACTATCAGGGCAGCTCCCAGCTAATGCAGAGCATAACAAGATAAGGGGCTCTAAGTTGCACTGTATGGGACGGAGATTTGGCCGCGATCCCAAAGTCCTGGTAAAATAAATGTTGCACGCTGACAGACAGTTTGGCCGACCCAGTTTTGATAAATTCCAAAATGTAAATGAAACCAAAGGGGCAGAGTGGTGAGAGGGAGGGGGGGGGGGCAGGTTGGTTGAAGGGAAGCTGTTGAGTTGATTTTTTGCATCTTTATAGATAAGGTTGTCTTTTTTTTTTTTTTTTTTCTTGTGTTGGTGCTGCCACCCAGACCTCAGAGTGTTTCTCACCTCGGCAGCGGTCAGGGAGCAGCCCTTCCTGCACATTCCTATAGCTGTGGAAGATAATTGCTGTGGTTTATGAGAGGGAGAGGCCCTGAAGAAACACTTCCACCAGACCTCAGTTTCTTGCGTTTTTACTTCTCTCAGAATTCTGGTTCAGACACCGGAACAGGGTCTGTCTCCAATCAGTAGGTCTGTGGTTCCCTACTGCAGCTTGATAACATTCAAATGTTCTATTTACTCTAAAGGCCAATGCAAAAGTATTGAAAGAAATGGAGTGTGAGAGTGCTGCGCAGATGCCAGGCTGCTCATTGAACACTTCCAAGTTTCTTTTAAGCTAAATCTTTCTTCTTCGCATATCCTCTCCCATAATGGTTTACATTTATATTCTAATCACAGTGCTTTGAAGGCAGCTCATTGTCTGCCAGCATCTAATTACGTGACATACATGCAGAAGGACTTAGCAATGTTATTGTTGTACTTTGTGTGAGGTATTGTAGAGCTGCTCATGATTACTCGAATGGAGGCCCACATTTTTGGCCCCAGATCAGTGCTTGAAGTGGAGAGAGTCCTGTACAGACTCAACACTCACATGCTCTTCTTATTAACCCTCTTCCAAAGTTATTGATGACTGTCTGTTGTGGAGTTTAAAAACAAATCCCAGGCTCTGGATCCACAGTCTCAGCTAACCACAAAGGTGCAAGGCTTGGGAGTGTATGCCATAGTTTCACGATTTGATCACACTTCGAAAGCCTGAAGTGCAACACCCAGGTAACTTTTCATTCTCCCGTAGCAGTTTCATGACTAATTTAATCACAAGTGTGTGGAAATCAGTTCCATTTGCAGTTCACAAAGGTGATTGCTTTGAGAGTAATTAGATGTTTCCTTTAAACGGTTTTTCTGACCAGACTCTGAGGGTTGCAGTTTCCCATAATGAAAGGTAATTTTATTTTATTTTTTTTTCAAACAGTTACAGTATCATTTTACCTAACTGTTCACAGGGTAACTGTGGTCCATGTGGTTTCTGGTCCTTAAAGCAGAATTTTACATGAATGGCAGCTGGCACTGAACCATTCCATGAAGCAACAGTTTTAATGAATCTGAGAGAAAAGTTAATGATTGTGTGGTTTCTGGCCTGGTTCATAAGTGTTTTAATATCATATCATTTCTGTATCTAAACTGCTCACTGAATTAAATTCGCATATGATATAGACATTCATTCTGATTTTATTTTACTTGGTGAAAAGCCACCCGTTCCTTATTGTTAAAACCTTTGAATAATGTCTTATGATAACATGTCAGAATGATCTAAAAGTCATCTCATTTTGTGGCTGACTTTTGGGAACAATCACTAACGTCTCATCTGTCAGCAGCTGAACATTCATGTTGTGTAATGACACTTTTAAAAGCCTCATTAAGGCCACCTATCTTTTCTCACCCTTGTTTTCAATGGACATTCCTCAAAACCTCATTGCACTGGGGCAGATACTGTACACAGGTGCAGCCAAGAGATAAAAGTCAGCGCAGTGATGATATTGCAGGTCAGACATCGGCTACCTATTTGAAAAGAAGCGTGTGGCTCATTACTCATCCAGCAAAAGTCACAGCTGTTTGTGTCTGTGTCTGAATTATTGTGAATCATTATTTTTAGACACTTTAAATATAACAGTTAACACTTTTTTTCCCAGTGTACCACAGGAATCCATTCAGGACCAGCTGTACATCATGTCATTACTGCTGTCACTCATCCGTCAGCAGCGGTCCCACACAAAGTGGGCGAGTTACAGGAGAGGGTGACACTCTGGCCCGTGCTGACTGAGGGGGTTAATCATGTTTTCATAAACACACTCTGATGTGGTCTGCTCTGATACGCCATATTGTCCATGCTGCCGACTGCTGTGACACATGGCTCTGAGCTCGCAGCAGGAGAGGACTGTTAGGAATGCTCTGGCCTGACATGTTGGGAGTAATTAACCCTGATTGATAAAAGATGAACTGCCGCTGCTGCAGCAGTGGGCCTTCAGCACAGACACACACACAGACACACACACACACACACATACACACACATACACACATACACACATCCACACCCGTACACGCATGCACTCATGCGTCCACCCACACGCTCTCTCACGCACCATGCACACACAGCAGCTGCACCTGGGAATTTTGGCTTATCTACAGCATATTCATGATTTTCATGCCCCTCTAGAGAAGAGGAGAGGAAAAATATATGACAGACGCTACAGCCACTCATCATAACATGTCAAAAGAACCCGCTCTAAACACAGCAAGAGGAGATTAGATGGTACTTTTTTGAAGAGCATTCAAGTCTGTTAAAGCATTTGATTTGGTTGTTGGTCAGAGGCTGAAATCTATTTTTTTTTTTTTTCCCCTAGATGTTTACAGTTCTAAGCAACTGGTGTGTCAGTTTTTGCAGCTAATACATCTCTGAACATGATCGCTACAGGCTCATCAACCATCATGTTGAAGAAAAACTGGAATTTCATGACTATTTTTCAGAAAATTCTCTCATGTATTACCCCCAAAACCATAGTGTCTTCCAGGAAACAAACAGGCCTTCCAAAAGTGTTCCGCTTTCAGTGTGTTCACATGTTTATATTTCACTTTTTCCCCCATGTCAGCCAATGTATCACCTAAAGTTGCAGTGGGTTCAAGCTGAGCTCATCCTGCTGCTGGTGTGTTCTGTGTGAATGTTTTAACTCCTTATGTGTGGATGACCACAGAGATGTTAAAAGAAAAGGCCACATATTTAAAGGAAACTCCTGATGTTTTTTCCCCACATCTGTCCAGTGGTGTTTGTCTCCCTTCCCCCCATCTCCCTTCTTTAACAGAAGCCCTACACTTTTACTGCCCCCCTACTGAGATCCCTTGGCTCTTATTATGGTCTTATTTATGTATCCTGTTTCAGATGGAAGTAATGTCAGCATCCAGTGAGGCACTCTGCTCAACTGCCCCCACCCCCTTCAGTTGTTTCTTCTGACTTGAGGGATGGTGGACGAGGGCTGTTTTTCTTTTTAGGTCTTCACCTGATTATTGCGATTACCTCTGCAGCAGCTCCAGTTCTTGTGTAGATTCAATCACATCATTGACCCCTTTCACTAACAATTCACTTGAGTTTTGCTTATTTGTGTGGCTGCCTCTCCGTATGTGCATGCTACAGCAAATGGTCATCTCGAATATGCACAGCACATCATTCGCCATAACTTGTTTCACAATCATTTGAAAACAAAGAAAGGTTCCACCTGCTTCGCATAGCAAGGATCCCACTGAGATTCATGGTTTTCAAAGTGTACACACACACACACACACAGACACACACACACACACACACACACACACACATTCAGATTCAAACATTCAGATCATGCACTTACTATTCTGGTTCTTTTTTTGTTTTGAGCAGGAGAGATGTGAAAACAGTGATGGACTGTTTTAAGAGAGAAGACGAAAATAACAACTGAAGTAGCAGATGATTAACCAACCCCCATCTCTCTCTCTCTCTCCCCCCCAGCTCTTGGTCAGATTATGCTGTATGTGGATGGGATGAACGGCCTCATATCTCACAATGAAACGGTCCAGTGGCTTTACACCCTGGTCGGATCCAAGGTAAAGAATATGAACATTAATTTTAACAAGAGCCCAGTTACAGCTATACAGTAGATGGACTTTGAAATCAACTCAGCAGCTCCATCTGGGCGCTGACAAAGTTGAAATAAACCATATAGTTCACTACTCTGAAATTTCATACCTCACTGCTTTGTCAACATGCAAGCAGCTCTCCTGTCATTGTGGTCTTCAGCCCTCTAGTGGCCAGATTGCGTCATGGAGCAGCACATGAGGGAACCACATTGTCCCTCTTCCCTTTCCCCACTCTTTTCTGTTCTTACTAATTGCTTTTCTGCCTTCTTGTGTAGATATTGACATAATATTTGGCATCCACCTTTTTTTTTTTTTTTATATCGAACCCTGTCTTTCTTCCATGTTTTTGTGTGGCAAATTTCCATTAGCAATATTCATTTTGACCACGATCATTCGAGTCTTGCTTGTCCAGTCTGAAGTGCTGATTTGGCAGCTGTTCACAAGTGTTAAATTCATGCTGATGGTTTAATCCCCTCTTTAATTATGTTGATGTATTACTCTCAGCCAGATTTGCATTGCCAGTTTTTCTTGTGCATCAGCTTTCTCTCTCCTTTCCATATTATCTTGTGGTGTGAATTGTTGTAAACGTCTGGCATTTTTTAGTTATCTTGCTTTATTTTGAGACTCATCTCCGTTTTACCGTTTATCATTACCCAGTTATTCTTTTATGCAGATTTTACTTTTTGACTAATAGTACAGTATGTTCCACTGAGCTGTCAATGTCAAACAACACTTTTATCAAACCTCTCAAGACTGTCCAGACAGGAAAGGCTTTTCTAAGAAAACATAATGCCATTTAGTATTTGGAATTCAAAGGGCTAGCACCTAGTCTGTCATGTTGGTCTGTAGTTGTCAAAAAAGTTGAATTTTGCGTTGTGTGCTTAGACCTGGGGGCTGGTGCTGCTCTGTATCTTGTGTATTAACTGTGTTTTTCTCTTTGTGCAGTTCCGTCTGGTGGTGAAGACGGCACTAAAGCTGCTGCTGGTGTTTGTAGAGTACACAGAGTCTAATGCCACCCTGTTGATAAAGGCTGTGAATGTCGTGGATGCCAAAGGAGGTAAGAGCCCAGGCTAACCAGCCAGCAGTTCAGTTAATAGGTCAAACTGAAACACCTAACAAACCATCAAAACCAGTGAGTGACTGGTTTTCACTATACCTAATATTGATTCAGTCATGTTATAGATTTAAATAGGGTGTTTAAGTCACATATTCTCTCTATAGACACATATTTAATCCACTCCTAATAGAGTATAGTCCACATGGTGCTATTATAGTCATTTCTGGATGTTAGAATTAATATCTGCAGACAGACAATTGTCAGAGCAACCAACTTTGAATTGATAATGTCATAAGGTGTTTGGTGTCAGTCCATTGAATTAGTGACTTTGGACTCACTGTGTAAGAAATTACACACAAATGAGTTTTATCTGAATGTGAGTCTTCAAGCTAATTAGAAATTGCCCCCTCGTCTCTGGAAAATCACAGTGTCTATCGTAGAGCATTTTAGGGAAGGCTTTCCCTTCGATTCCACCAATCAAGCCATCCATGGTGGCTGTAGTGCCATTCAGCTGATCGCAGATCAGTCTCCTGTTACACAGTAGTCAGATCAGTTTTCCTGAGCAGCTCCCTCGCCATGCATGGAACGAGGCTTATTGAGACAGACTGTAACCTCTACCTGCAGTGGGGTTCGGTTACTTGCTGCTCTAAAAGCTCCACATTGTGCGGTGGCGTACAACAGGGGGGTTGAGCATCAGCGTGGAGGGGTCAGGTATCCCTCTGTCTCGGCACCGTCTTATCCCGTCACCTCTGCTGTTGCATAAGGAGACTAAACCTGATCCCCAGTCTCCTGATGAGAAGAAGATGGACTTGACCCTTGGGGCTGAGGCACATAGCTGCTTCTTTCTCACTGGAGATCAGTGCCCCTGCTCTGTGTTTCCTCTCATTTTTCTAGTAGGAAACTGCTATGACTGCATCTCTCCCCAGGGAGCCATGAGATGACATAACAATTTTTGATTTTTATTGTTGCGCAGTGGTGGAGCTGAAAGGTTGCAACAGTTTTTTATGCTGTAAGGTGATCACCATGGTTACTTTAGACTTTTATTGTACTGTTATTGTTCAGGCTCTCGCAGATCTGTTTTGGAGTTTGTCCTGTGATATAGAATATGTTGCATGCCTTTTGCTTCTGCAGGCACAAAACTGTGGTCAAACGTCATGGAGATCCTTGATGAGAAGGATGGAGTGGATACAGAGCTGCTGGTGTATGCAATGACACTCATCAATAAGGTCAGTGAATTCTTTTTGGTTGATACTTTCCATATTATTACTGCATCAACTAGTATAGTCATTTTTCTTATTTCTGAGCCGCTATTCATCAGACCACATTAACAAAAAAAAGTTAAAAAAACAAGGCTATAACTCTTAGAAAATATAATGCGTATGTGCTTGTGTGTGTTTCAGACTCTGGCAGGTCTCCCGGACCAGGACTCCTACTATGACATGGTGGACTGTCTGGAGGAACAGGGCATCGAAACCATGGCCCAGAGACACCTGAGCAGGAAGGGCACGGATCTCGACCTTGTAGAACAGTTCAACATCTATGAGGTTAGGAAGCCTTTACTAGCAACCATTATCACTTAACAAAAAGCCTTAATGTAATGTTAATAGGTCTGTATGTGTCTCTCATAATAGGTCATAGATCACATGACGTCTGACAGGCTCATACAGCAGCCAGAAATTAAGTGAGCATTAAGGTTGCTGTCTGTGAACAACATGCATACAATTTATTTACTCATTTTGTTTTTGATGACTCATTGTCCCAGATGACTCTTCGTCATGAGGATGGTGACGATGAAACCCAGTTGCCTCCCAGCGGCCGAAAGGACCGTCGACGGGCCAGTGTTGGCGCTAACAACGAAAGGCGGGGCCTGGAGAGAAGACGCAGCCGGAGACATTCGCTCCAGAATACCAGAGGCCATGTTTCTGCCCCAGCATCACCCAGCAGCCCACACACTCATGCAAGCAGCTTCCTGCCCTTCGGTGGCCAGGGTGTTGAAGACATCAGTGAAAGGTGAGGCGGGGGGAGGACAGAGAGGAATGGAAAAGTGGAAGATGTTCAAGAGAAGAAAAGAATCTTCGTCCTTGCCTCCATTTTAGCTTGAACTTGGTCTGATCCTGCATTTGAAAGGTTCAGCCAGTGGGGTTTGTTTTATATTTTAAACCCGGAGAGATAACTGCAACTAAAAAGGAATCACAAATTATTCCTGGGTCCATAGAGTATTACTCATTTTCACAGGAAACGGCTTTACTGCTAGCCTTGTATTATGTTTCAGTCTTGGGGAGATGTGTCTACTCTGTCCAGAGCCAAAGCAGAGAATTTAATTATATAGTAATTTAAAGAAAGGCGAAGAGGAGGCCGCTGCTGCAAAGTGACATTTAAATTAATTTTCCCCACTGTCAAAGACATTCTCCTGCCACTGGTGGAAATAGGAAGCTTCTGTAAACACATGATATGAGCTATCTGCTCTCTGTCTGAAGGCATGCTTCCTTCAGTGAGAGCGCATTGAGCTTAAACTCCACATTGCCATCTGTTTTATATACGACAACCCTTTGTAACTACACAAACTCAGAGAAACCACAACTGGTGATTCAGGCAAGAAGCAAATTGCAATCTTGTTTAATTATACAGTAGCTTGGAGTATGCTTTATAAAAGTGCCAGAAAAACTTAGTCAGACAGTTCCTTTTTGTGGAAAATATGTTAACCCTTTATTCCACTTTTTATTATGGGTCATACATCAGAGGACAAAAACCCAGATTTTTATCTTTAAAATCACTACTGATTACTGATCGTCTTTCCCAGTGCTACATAATCCATCCCCCAATCATTAATAACAAGCTTCTTTTTTTTTCAAAGTAGCAAACCCACTAATATTTCTGGTAGCACTCAGCTCTTCAGGTACTGATACTTAAATTCAATCCAGCAGGTCGTATACCAGACTAGCTTCTTCCAGTCCGCCACAGGAAATTCAAGCCGCCTTTGAAGATCACCATTTTCCATATTGTTAATGAAATCCAGACAGCCAAGAGGGATCCAAATAGCACACTGGCCGCATGTATGACCATGTATCCCAGACTATCAGTCCAAACACAGAAGATATCTCCTACACCTCTGACACTGCTTATTGAATTAGTAAATCTTATTCTCCTCAATTAAAATCACAAGGAGATGTTTTATATTAAACAGATTTTTGTATTAATGCTACTGTAGAAGTTGTACTTGAATGTGGTTGTAACTGTTGCCTGTGCATATCAGTGTCTTACAAGAAAATGTCTAAACCTACTAATCGTCTCATTACACCTCACTAATATTTCTAATTCTTTCCTGACCAGCATGTCTCTAGTGTAATCTCTGTGTGTTGTCTCTCCTGGGCCAGCCTCTGCTGTGTGTTTTCATGTGTGTCTCTATCCACTTTCTCTCCCTCTTGCCTGTCTACATCCTCCCTTTCCTCTGTTCAACCCTCGACCCCTCCTCTCACCCCAGAGAAGAGGAAGAGGAGGAGGAGGGAGAGGAGGAGGATGAGGATGAGGAGGAGGAGGAGGAGGAGGAGGAGGAGGAGGAGGATGGACGAGGATGAGGACGAGGACGAGGCAGATGATGAAAGTCATCCAGTCATTGAGTCCTCTAGACAGGGTGCTCACAGGTATTTTAGGCCAATGGGTTTCCCAAGAGTGACTTGATGTCTCATTCCCCCTCACATTTGCAGAGTTTCTCTTTCCCTCGACCCATTTGGACTCCTACTCTCTTGTATTTTGTCATCCTAGTGTGGCTCCAGCTGTAGCAGACACTCCTAACATGTGTTTGAACTTAAAGTGTATGGCCAACATCCTCCCTAAAGCCAGTGACCCTGAAGGGCAGAGAGAATATCTCAGCGTCAAGACCAGGACATCTTCTCCTGTGTCCGTCGCACCTAAAAAGAGGAACTTTAGTCCTTGGTGTGTTCCTCCCCAGCCACCCGACTGTGTCTTCTTTGTTGCTCTGAGTAAAATGTCAGGCTCTGCACACCCTCAGTGTCAGTCTACACCAACCTCACCCCCACCCCACCCCACCTCTCCCTCCATTCAGTGATTTGAATCAGAGCCAGAGCCAGGTGTCTGTTGGGTTCGCAGAGAGTGAGAAGGGCAAGGACAGAGAAAGGCGCTACAGGCAGTGGGCAGGAGCTACTACACAGTTCATTTTGTGTTATGTCCAGACCATTACACCTCACAGTGTGGAAACACACTGTCCTCCCCATCACCGGTGCCCTTGTCTCTATGTAGCTCACTGTACATTCAGCAGAGACACACGCAAGCATCATAAGAATAAAAGCAGATATAGTAATTCTAAAAATTTTAATTTCTTCTTTAAAATGTTCTTCTTAATTTGGTCCAATGGGGTTATTTGTGGGCAACATGATTAAGCTTTGTTCCTCTCTACCTCCCTCATCCTTTAGAAATGTTTTCTTGATCATAGTGGCCAGAAACGCCTTTACTTCCCATCAGATGTGATTTATGTTTCATCTGTCATCTCCAAAGATGTACTGTACCAGAAGAAGGAAGGTCATAATTACTTCCTTTTCTCAGTTGCTGGAAAGCATTATTTTACAGACGTTTACTACTCATCTGTCTTCCATTGTGGCTCTGCATCACAGTTAATCTAAGACAAGTCAATAAATTCATTCAAAGCATTAAGGAATTCAGAGTATTAGTATAAGCCACAGTCACTGCCGCTTAGTTGTTCATGTTTCTGTAGTAATAATAAACAGGATAGGATGCCATCTGAGCTGAAATGATTCCCTGTTTTCTATGCAGTAGACAATAAAACGTGATCCAGTGAAAGCTTTTGAGCTATTTTATCTATAATGATCAACCGTAGTTGTATTGATTTCTAAACAGCACACTGTATCGGTAGGTCAGACAGAGATAACTCCTGCACTGCCCCTGTCGGCTTTGTCGTTGTATGGTCTTGCAGCCCTCCTACCTTCAACTTCTGTCTCACTATCTTGTCTGTGTGACTAACATTTCATTTTTTTTTTTTTCTTTTAATCTTTGGAGTGTGTGACCTGACTCTTGCTCTCTCTCTCTCTTTTTTTCTCTCACCTCCATCTTCAGTCCAATGGAAACAAACAACTCTCCTGCATCTTTCACAGCTAGAAAGCCTTGCTGGGCTGAAAGGTAAGAGCAGGAGTCAACAGGTCAAGTGTAACACGAGTGCGTAGGTGCAAGAGATGTACATGTGGTGGTTCTGAGGTTTTTGTGATTTACATGAATAGTTTCAGTAACGTGCACATAATGCAGTCTACCTAAAAGGTTTTTCTGTCATCTTTGTTAACTATTTTTGATTTTCACACAGTGTGATGGGAAATTATTTGAGGACAGAATGTGTACATTTGCTGTTGGATTCAACACAGCCGTGAGAAGGCCCCATAGACGAGAGTTGGTCTGGTAAAAAGATGAATTTTATGAAAGATTGCCCTTACGCACAGACATGGACGAGCAGTGCACCTGCAGGGTACCCTTCAGAGTGTGATGGCACTCACAGGAAAGCTGTTCAAATGCCTGGGGAGAGGTGCTTAAGAGCACTGTTCTTTTATTCAACATTTTATTCATATCTCAATGGAAACAGTCCAGCAGTATGACATCGGAATTCACATCACATCACAGATTCCTGAAGTGCTGTCCAGCCGTCTCCTCTGTCTTTCAGTGGAAAAATGTGTTAGGAGAGAACAAGGCATTTATTTTCCCCTTCTTTTAACAGAATCACTGCCAATGGTACTCCATACCCTGGCAGGCACCAGGCTCCTGCATCACCCATCCATCGCTTCTCTGGTTCAGCGGCCTCCACACCAGACTCCAAAGCTGACAGGTCGGCAATGCAACTATATTTTTGGATGTGGTTGATTAAGGGACACAAATACCTAACGGAAGACACAAACCAATCAGTTTTAATGAAGCTATCACAATTGTTCTCTCTCTTTCGCGTGTAGACCCGCTTTGGGGGGCTTACTAACTTCATCGTACAGACAGCATCAAGAAACGCTGGCCGCAGAGAGAGAGCGGAGACGCATGGAAAGAGAAGAGCGTCTGCAGAGAATCGAAAGAGAGGAGAGGAATCGCTTCAAGTCAGTCAAGTCACAAAACAGTAAAATTCACATCACATAGAGTAAATCTTTACTTTGTAACCATAGGCAGCTGTACAGCAAATGAAGACATGTTGGCATACGTCATTTTTAGAAACAGGTGGCTGCAGCCTTGACTCAGGAGGGATACTCGCATACCTCCCATGAGTATGATTAAAGCTGGGCTGTATTTTTTTATGAGGATCATTAGATATACTGACTCACAGCAGAAGGACTCTGCTAAGGTATATATTCAGCTCATGTGTCTTGTCTTAGCATTTTATGATGCTACAGTTTGCTTTCTTTGTACTTACCAAATCATTTTCAGTTAAGTAATCATCGGATTTGAAATAAAATCTTTATTTATATGATGTTATGAATATTTTTTATAACACTTTTCTGGCTCTGTTTCTGTCTTTCTATCTAAGTCGAGATTATGTAGACAAGAGGGAAGAAGCAAGACAAGCCAGAGAGGAAAGGTGAGTGCGTTTTATTTCATGGTTTCACATATTCACAATCGTGCTCAAGTTGTGAAGGTAGATCAAAAAAAAAAATAAGGAGGTTTGTAAATGCTTTGAGATCCTTTTCTAAAATTGATAGCAGATGTGAAGTGAGTTGCGCCTCGCCTCAGACTGACTTATAGCTGTCAGGGCCCCTTCAGGCCTGCTCACCATTAAGACGTCCCAGTGTTAACAGGACAAGTGTGTAATTGTGTTTTTCCATGGATGTGGTGTGGTTATCTGCCTCTGGCCGTGTCTGTGTGCGAGTGTCCGTGTGCGCAAAATGACTCATGGCTCATTCTTATGCCCTCACCTTCTTCACCCCTGTGGACTGGAACATGCAGCTCATTCAGATTTCAAGAATGTGTGAACTGAGTTCAGTTAACAAAAATGTTAAACATAAACATTTTGGCCCCTTTATTAAAGAAGGATGTCATTTGTCATCATTATTTGAGCTCTTTAGTAATGGGATTACAGCTCAGTTTTCCCATAATTACTGAGGAATAAGACAAACATGTCAAAAATGCTAACAACATAAATGCTGATATTATGGCTATTATTTGCTAAAACCCAGCTGAATTTTCATCACTTTCAATCACTGTTGGATGAAGCCTCCATGTCTCTAAAATGTCATCTTTCCAGTAGCTTTGGATTTCTTGAATGTACTGTGTTTCTACCTCATTATACCACAACAATCAAATGGCTGAGCTGAGATTTAAACATCTATTAACTTCAGCACACGTCTAAACCACAGTGTGCAGACATCTGAGAGCTACATTTTGTAATTGCAGATACAAGGCCGTGGAGAGGCTCGCTGCAGAGGAGTTTGAGCGGGAGCGCCCCAGAGTGCCAACGAGAGGACGGACTGAGATCACTTTGTGTTTGAGTTCCAACCCTGCCAGCCGCTCAGCGCCTCGCTGTGCCACACCCTCATCCATCATCTCACCGGAAGACACCGTCACCAGTGCACACCAGACATCAGGTAAGGTTGCCAACCATTTAATCATCATCATTAGTAACCGAGTGATATGAGCGTGAATGGACTGTAAAGTTGGCTTACAGAGCTGGAAGAGACAAATACTGGCTGTCAGTGCGCCTGTCACATAAACCAGGCCTGGCATTAACAGCTGACAGGTGATTATGACACAGAAATTAGATTCTGCTGCACTTCTGTTGAAAGGGGTCATTGAAAATAATTACTTGACTCTGCTTATCATAATTTGTGTAACTGTGTCTAAAGAGGGTGAGAAGGAGGTGGAGGTGTATATATACACACATATCTAAATTTCCGACTTTTGAAATGGATGTAATGAGGTTCTGATTAAACCGTGTTAATGATTTGAAGGTAATTTCTCATGGTGCAATCAAAAAAAGTTTTGTGCCTTTTTAAAGTTACAGTAGTTTATTTTTCTAAAACAAACTTCTTGAAGATTGAAATTGAAGTTTTTTTTTTTTTCTTAGAAGCTTTACAGTTGTTACAGTCGTGTTTATGGTCGTGAGTCATGGTCACAGAATTTAATGCCTGCTTTGTGAATTACAGTCTGCTGCAATCTCTTAGCACAATAAAGGCTATGTCAGGAAGCAATTTAAAGCTGTTATAATTATAAACACAAAATGTTTCTGAAGACTATCAGATAATTTAAAGACACATGACTGAAGTATTTAAAGTAACATTTTTTCTTCCACATTGTTTTGATTTCTCTTCCAGGAACAGAACACATCTCAGAGCCAAACCTTGACCCACAGACCAGAACCAAAAGTCCAGCGCCAGAGTTAGCAGTATCAGAACCTTCCCCCACACCTCCCCCCGAGCCAGAAAAGCAGCAGACTGAGACAGAGTCGCCTGCGGAGACAGAGGATGTTGCTGAGTCTGACCAGAATGTAGTGGCAGAGCCGGCGTCAGATGAACGGTCAGGCATGGAGCAGGAAGAGAGGCAAGAGCAGGAGAAACTTGAGGAGCAGAAACAGTGCATGGATGAGGCAGCGGTAGAAGAACAGGTAGAGGAAGCAGAGGTAGCTGATGTAGCAGAGGTGGGACAGCCAGATGTGGAGGTGGATGTGGAGCTAGAGGAGGAGTGTGAGAAGGAGCAGCCGACGGAAAGGGATGTAGAAGATAGTGTACTGCTGAGTGAGAAGGAGAGACAGAATGAGGAAGTGAATGAAAAAGACAACTGCTCTGCATCCAGCATCTCCTCTACGAGTAGCACTCTGGAGAGGGAGGAGCGGGAGGAGAAGCTCACCACCGACACTGAAGCAGGTACGATTGGTGCTAATTTTATTCACTCACTTTGTAAATCAGTTATGATTATTCCTCTCAATATCAAAATTGTTTCCACACCAACAGCTCAATGGACTCAGTGCATTAAAGACGCAGATGTGAACGACCAGTGCAGCAAAATTCTCAACAGCAAGCGCTTCATGCTGGACATGCTCTATTCTCAGACGACAACCAGCAAGGATGAGGGGAATGTAGGAGAAACAGACAAAGAAAAATGTAAATGTGAGAAGGAGACGGAGGTCAGTGACTCCTCTGTGGCTAGTTTGGCCAGCAGGATCTCCACACTGGAGGCTAATAGACAGGCCAGAGAAGAAAATGTGAAAAAAATGGAGGTGGGTCACCTGGACAACCAGGGCAGTGTCCGAGCAGTGGCGGAGAGGTTTGGAGATTTGGTCAAAGGTTTAACATCTCCTCTTGAAGTGGAGGCCTCAAAAGAGCAACAGCAGCAGCAGCAGACTGACAAATCATCAACCGCTGCATCGTCAGCTTTACCTCCTAAGAAAGAGTCGGATTATATCTGGGATCAGCTAATGGCTGCTCCCAGGGAGCTGCGCATCAAAGAAATGGACTTCACAGACCTGAGGGACGAGGATGACTTGGACATTTTAGATATGGACAGTGTGATGGGGTCAGGTGACCTGATACCACCGCCTCCTCCTCCACCGTGCAATGCTGCCCTGCCACCACCCCCACCATTGTTTGGGTGCCCCCCACCTCCTCCCCTGCTTGGCAAAATGATGCCGCCACCCCCACCATTCATGGCCCCTTTCCCTCCACCCTCCCCTCAGCTCAGTCGAGGGGAGGTGCCTCTATTCCAGAAGAAGAAGAAGACCATCCGTCTCTTCTGGAACGAGGTGCGTCCTGTGGACTGGCAGTGTAAGAGCCATAAATTCTGTAAGGAGTCCCTCTGGTCCAAACTGGAGCCAGTTAAACTGGACACATCCAAGCTGGAGCAGCTGTTTGAGTCCAAATCCAAGGAGCTGCCTGTCACGAAGGTAAATTACTGTTGAACCGCTGCTACAGTAGAACCATACAGTATTAACATACGCTTTTCTGCAGTTCTGATTTGGTTGTAAGAACTCTGGTGGGTGTCAAATGTGACTGAGGATGCACAGGGTCTAGTAAGCATTTAAAATGGGTGAACCCGTTGTCTCTATTGGTAAGACGGACATTAGAGATGAATTTAAAAGTGTTATTGAAAAAATTGGACTGAAAATGATAAACACTAAACTCTTTTCATGACCCCTCCTGTAGCACCACCATCGGCAAATTTTCACATTTATATTCCCCTCACCAAGAGCGAGGGACACCCCCCACCCCCCGACATTGTCAGTAGCACCAAACCCAAGCCATTATTTCCACTTGTATACAAGAAGATATGTAGAAATCCCATGACTGCAATAACTTTTTTTTGCTTCTAGCACCACCCTCAACTTGGCTTTTTCTGCACACTCGTTTTTTAAACCGCAGTTTACACGTTTTGCATCACATTCACATTTTCTTTTCCATGTATCCATCCAACCATTTTGTTTTTCTGGTGCAATGAGAGGTGCAGTCCCGCAGGTAAACAAGTGAACCAGAAAAGCGACTCTATTATGGGGAACAGAACAGGAGATGCTCTTTGTCACATTTCCATTTTATGAAAAATGGCTCAAAAGTCAGGTGTGTTTTTACACATATTTTGTGTAGTGCATCTTTAAGCCATTAAGAGCCGTTTCCACTGCTCGAGACACATGATCTAACATGCAAAGCTTAACCTTGATTTCTGATGGCATTTTGTATCTCTTATAGAAAGCAGCTGTTGATGGCAAGCGACAAGAAATCATAGTCCTGGATTCAAAACGAAGCAACGCTATAAACATTGGCTTGACTGTCTTACCTCCTCCACGCACAATCAAGACTGCTATCCTCAACTTCGATGAGTACGCACTAAACAAAGAGGGCATTGAGGTAAGCATTTTATTTAAAGGGATTCTGTCTCAGGACACATGCTATACATTTGAATTTGCGCTTTACGAGCACCGTCTAGTGCAGTCATATAAAATAAAAGCCATTCAAGCTCACTGGGTCCAAAATAAACATGGCTTTCTTGAATGATATTTACCCAGCACACCAAAATACACTGGTGGATTTCCCCAAACAAGAGAGATTTAACTCATCTAGATGGGATTGCCCACAATGTTGACATATCATGTGATTTTTCTGGCTGCATGGCTGGATTTTCGGTTGATCTCATGTAATTAATCATAGTGATGATTAAAGGTTAGCTCCACGTGCATATTTTCAGCTCGTTTTAAAAACCATACCATAGACTTTTGAAGGACTTCACATCAGCAGATAATGATGGATGTTGCATCCCTCTGGTATTATATAACCTGCAGTTTTCAGAGCTTCTCCTTGACTTCGTTTTCAGCAGAGAGGAGTATTTCTCTCCACCTTTTGTCTCTGGAGGTATTTTCAGCCAGACAACAAAAGCGAGGTTGAAAGTTCAGATGTCACAAGTTTGTGGGAAAGCTGAAAACATCTTAGATAAACAGAGCTAGAAATGTCAGAGACAGTTTGTTTCCTCTCCATCTCTATGATTTACTCCCCGACATGTAAAAATCTTTGCACAGGCACTGAAAGGCTTTTGATATGCCTGATGAATGATCCTATGAGCCAGCTCCTTTTCCCCTCCCCTCCTCTAATTTCTTCCTTCGTCTCCAAGAAAATCCTGACAATGATCCCCACAGAGGAGGAGAAGCAGAGGATCCAGGAGGCTCAGCTGGTCAACCCTGATATTCCCCTGGGTAGCGCTGAACAGTTCCTTCTCACCCTCTCCTCCATCACCGAGCTGTCTGCTCGCCTGCAGCTGTGGGCATTCAAGATGGACTATGAGCTTATTGAGAAGGTCAGACACATTCCTGTTCACTCTAATCACATGCAGATACATCACACTTTAAAGGGGATTGGGGGTTATAAGTCAAAAGTCATTTTTTTAAACATTATAATACACATGCTATCATAAATTAAAGAAATTGTTTTAGGAAATACGCTTAGTTGTTTTCTTGCCAGGAGTTAGATAAGAAGATCGATAATACTGTCTGATCTGTATGTTAAATATGAAGCTACAGCCAGCAGCTGATTAGCTTAGCTAAGCATAAAGACTAGAAACAGGGGGAACCAGGTAGACTGGCTCTGTCCAAAGGTAACAAAATCAGCCTACCAGCACCATTAAATCTCACAAATTAACACATTATTCCTCAGTTTTTTAATTTGTATGGAAGAACTGTAAAAACATACAAACAAAGTGACTGTGGACATGGCAAGGCTAGCTGTTTCCCCTTGTCTCTGGCTTTTAAGCTAAGCTGAGCTAACTGGCTGCTGGCTGACAGTCTATCTAAAAAGCAAATAAGCATACTGAGCTATTCCTTTTAAATGTTTATGTTTTTATCAACTTGCTGTACATCATTATCAGAGGAGAAGAAGAACAGAATTAACAGGTGAGGATCAGTAATGTCCTTCTTCACTGTATTTTCATACTGTTTTAGGAGGTGGCAGAGCCTCTGCAGGACCTGAAGGAAGGGATGGATCAGCTAGAGAAAAACAGGACACTCCGCTACATCTTGACCACACTGCTGGCCATTGGAAATTTCCTCAATGGCACCAATGTGAGTAGCCCTCAAACCATATATGGCTTTAAGGTTCCTCTTTTCTTCACTTTCCCTCCCTCTGTGTCTTTCACCCGCTTCCTCCATTTCCTCCCGCGCTCCTCCTCCTCCGCCAACTCCCCCGCAAACATATTTATTTGGCAGGGATAACAGTGGACTCTGTGTGCAGAAGAATGTGCTGCCTGACTGTCTGCAGCAGACACTGTCCTTCTACAGTAAAAATGCTCATCAAGGATTCTGCTGAACCTGGCTCTGTCTGTCTGTCTGTCTGTCTGTCTGTCTCTGTCTCTGTCTGTCTGTCTGTCTGTCTGTCTGTCTGAGAGCAAAAAGAGGAGGGAGGTTGTGTTGCGCGTTTGCTGGAAGTATGTGTCTGTCTGGCTGCTCGTGTGTGAACTTGCATCTGTGTCTCCGACTGTGTTTTTTTTTTTTTTTTTGGGGGGGGGGGGGGGGGTTTCTGGTCTCACTTTGTGTTTTTGTGTTTCTGCAGCCTTGCGTGTGCTTTTGTGTGCATGCATCTGTGTGTAAGTCTACGTATGAGTGAACGTCTGGGATATGAGAGCCAAACATGCAAAAGGGAAACATAAGTCATCAACATCAAAACAAGTAGTTCCCGTAAATAATGGCTGCATTTATATTTTGCAGTAAGCCATTTAAAACTGGCATAAGAACAAGGGAGATCCTGTCAGGATTATGTCTTTCAGGATACGTTCAGCCTTTTGTCTTTGTTTTTTTTTTTAGCTTTGCTGTGGTGAGCAGAGCAATCGGTCGGGACTGAAGTAGATTGTGGTTTCTGATAATCACAGCCTAATGAATCTACATATCTACTCAGCGCACACCATTGAGCCCTTTTTTTTTTTTCCTTTTTTTTTTTTTGACTGCACCAAAAAGGAAATTCACTGCAATTTGGCCCTCGAGTAGGGGCTCTTGATTTCTAATTTCAGACATGTTGTTTCCGTCCCACATTCTGAGTGTGTTGCTGTGTATTCATGCATCTTTAGGCTAAGGGCTTTGAGCTGAGCTACTTGGAGAAAGTCCCAGAGGTGAAGGACACGGTTCATAAGCAGTCTCTGCTGCACCACGCCTGCTCCATCGTGGTTGAGAAGTTTCCAGACAGCACTGACCTCTATTCTGAGATAGGAGCTGTCACCCGCTTGACAAAGGTGAGCCTCGCGTACTTCTCAGAAACTCTTTAAACAGGATCAGTTTGTGCTTTTATACGCACTATAAATAGCAGTGATTGCAAATGAAGAGTCCTCTGTCTGCGATCTTGTTGCCAGGTGGACTTTGACCAGCTTCAAGACAATCTGGCCCAGATGGAGCGAAAGTGCAAAGCATCATGGGATCACCTCAAGGTCATTGCGAAACATGAGATGAAACCAGCGTTGAAACAGAAAATGTCCGACTTCCTCAAAGACTGTGCAGAGAGAATTATTATTCTGAAGATTGTACATCGAAGAATTATCAACAGGTATATTCAGGTGTAGAGCAAATGCCTCCACGCTAAATTAGATTACATTTTTCTTGCATCTTCTTACAAATATTTTCACTTGTATTTATGACAGTTTCAGTGTCCATTTTTAGTGTTTATTCAAGGGGATTTTCGTTACTTTTTGAAGCATGTTTAAACATCCTTTCCACCAGAGGATCTCTGTCCAGTGACGTGATGTTTCTCTACACATCTGCAGGTTTCATGCCTTTCTGCTGTTCCTGGGCCATCCGATATACGCGGTACGTGAGGTCAGCATTCATCGCTTTAGCAAGATCCTGAGTGAATTTGCCCTGGAGTATCGCACCACGAGAGAGCGTGTGCTGCAACAGAAACAGAAGAGGGCCAACCACCGAGAGAGGAACAAGACCAGGGGAAAAATGATAACAGATGTAAGTGGTCTTCACCACGAGCAACAGTCACATGTACACTCTCCATTTCCTGATCCTCGTCTTTGTTTAGTTAGTATTTTCTCAATTCTTTGAAACAATATGAACAATCCCTTGACACTGGTTATATTCTTAATCTGGTTAAAGCACCAAACATGGCCATTTGTGACAGACACAGCATAGATTCGTAATGACATCAGCATAGTTCCTCAGTCCTCACATGTATAGGTTACTGTAACAACAATCAGTGAGTTGTTTTTAGTGTATCCCATTCTGTAGCTGCAGCAGTCTAAGAAAGGCCAGACCAAATACCTCCCTGCATGATTAAAATCCCTTAAACCCAGAGGAGTCAGCTGGTCAGAGTGGACTCCACAGCGAGCCTTGGCAGGGGCCCCTCAGTCTTCAAAGGGACTCTAATTCAATCACTGTGTGAAAATTCAAACCCTTGGATGTCCCTGAAGGAGAAATAACAAGACCCACACCTTAGCCACACTCTTACAAAGGTGTTCAGTCAAATATGCTCTCTTGTACCATGGCTTGTATGTATCTGTAGTTTTTTTATGTTAAAAAAAGGGGGAGAGGGGGGTACCCTTATTCACTTTCTTGCCAAGAGCTAGATGAAAAGAGTGATACAAAACTGTCATCTGTTCAAAAAGATGCTGGAATCAGTGGCCTGCACCCGCCTGCAGGCTGGGAAAGGTAGTCTGGTTATGTCCAAAAGTACCAAAATCTGACAACCAGTAACCCCACGTAAAACCACAAATTGTTGTTTTCAATGTAATTTAATTTTAATTTTGTATTTTTTTTTTTTTTGTACCAATAAAACAAGATATAATGTGTTAATTAATATGCTTTAAGGGTGGCTAGATGTTTTTAGCTCCTTTCCCATTGTTAAGCTACAAGCTAAGCTAACTGGCTGCTGGGTCAAGCTAGTTCACACCTGGTGTCTACATGCGTCTCCACACACTATATCCAAACAGACATGTATGTGTGCATGTCTTTAGCCAGTCTGACAGCCTGGTCCATTGTCGTTTTGTCTGTTATGTGTGTGAGAGAGAGAGAGAGAGAGAGAGAGAGCTGGGAAAGGAAGGGCTAGGTGAATCAATGCAACTCTCACAGCTCTAGAATGAAATTTTGGGTTTTATCTTTTTGAAATGGTTAAATATTTTTGGTTCACTATAAAACTGTGTTGGGACTAATCACACTACGTCAGAGGACATCAGTAGAGCAGGCCCTTCAATGTGGCCCAGGACGCATGTGTGTTCCCACTGCTTAAAGAATGTGTCCACATGTGGCCCAGACCACCTCCATATGCGTTTCGAGTGATCCGATCTCAAATGTGTCTCTGGACTTAGAGCTGTGTATTTGTGATCAGATCGCCCGAGGTCTGAACAGGGCCTAGTGGTATCTATCTCCTTATCTAGGTCCCAGTATAAAAGCAAATGAGTGTATTTAACAAAATGTTGATCTATTCCTTTAACATTTATAAACCAAGGACTATATGCTTTTTTATGTGTCAGTGTGTATATACTGTATGTAGTCTTAAGTTTATCCAGCTGAACACTGTTTCCTGAAAGATTTTCACTTGATAGCAGCAGTATACTGTATCTGCAACACACCTTAATGCTTTTTTTTTCCATTTCCTTCATCTCTGTAGAGTGAGGATGACGATGATAGTGAGGTATGGGGGAGTAACTTTGTGTGAAAACAAGTGCATGTGAACTATCTGTGGTGACTAACATTCAACCAGGTCATGCTGTCGCACCTTGGACAATAACTGCCGTATTCTTGAGGATTAACAAAGGACGAGTCATTGGTAAGACTGACAGGTTCCATGTGTGTGTGACTCCACATGAATGAGGAAGTTTGATGGTGATGACAGGGAGAAAAAAAGAGGCGGTTGCATGATGTTGGCTGAAGTGTTGAGTGAACATCTCTAGGAGTCACAGATACTTCCTGGTAGAAAATAATTGACCTCAGGAGGACTCAAAGCTGAACTCTTGAACCTGGCATGTCTGCATTTTTGCAAGAAACAGTCATAGTGAAAAAAGGGGATTCTGACTTTTTTGTTTGTCGCAAAATAAATGTGTATGTGGAACTTGTGACTCTGTTCTTGCAGTTGACTGGAAAGTGCTGTTTAACAAGTTTTATATTCACATCTTTTCCTCACAGTTCCTCCTAAATACTAAATTTACCAGAGCATGGAGCTGAGTTTAACCATCTCCTACCAATAAAATATCAGCTATTGTAATCCTGTGTCCCCCTCCCTCCCCTGCAGAGTGGTAAATTTGGCAGCGCCCCATCAGATGCACAGGAGAGCCAGCCTCAGGGTATCCAGTATGCTGAAGATGCAGCTGAACATGAGAACATGAAGGCCGTGCTGAAGAGCAGCCTGCATGGCGGGGAGAGTGGGACGTCCACGGTGCCGGGCCTCCGTACACGCACCAGAGCTGGCAGCACCAGAGGTCACTCTCGTAAACATGTTATACTGTTACAGCCCCTACATCGCTTTTATATGAATATCACCATCCATTCAATACACTGAGACATGCACTGGTATTTATAGTCATGGTAGCAGCAGGACACTGCCATGGCAATGTCTGTCTGTCAGGCTGTCCAACACTTTGGTCCAGACTGAAATATCTCAACGAGGTTGTGACAGATAGCCCTGAAATTTTGTACCGGGATTCATGATCCCCAGAGGATGAATCCTAATAACTTTGGTGATCCACAGACAAGTAACACAAGAGGTTTGAGTGAAATGTCTTGACAACCATTGGATGGATTGACTTCCACATGCTCACCTCCCTCTGAATTGTAATAATTTTGGTGATACTAAAACTTTTCCTCTAGTGTCATTATCAGATCAAATATTTAATTTGTCCTATATTTTTTTGTTTGACTAAATTCTCGCACTGTACAAAATACCCCAGCTGTACTATATTACACTTGCTTAAAATCAGCATGTCAGCATTGTCATTGTAAGTATGTTAGCATGCTGCCGTAGGCACTTAGCTCAAAGCACCTCTGCGCTTACAGCTACAGCTTATTCTTATCCATTCTGATCTTATTGTTTAGGGCGTATTCCCCCATGGTGCTCTGGCAGTGACGACCCAGTGAACTGCACAGACGACACAGCTGATGAGATCATGGAGAGGATTGTCAGGTCAGCCACTCAGGGGCCCAGCCAGCGGACTCAACCTCGAGAGAGGAGACGATCTCGAGCCAACCGAAAATCATGTGAGTGACATCATCTGGACAAGTGGTATGATTTATTAACATGCACAGCAGAGTGCGATCAGCTTTATGTGCAAACACTACAGCCATCTGTGAAATGGATTGAACTGCACTAACCTGTATCAAAATGCTAGACAAATAAAGTTTGATTGATTGATATAGAAACATAAAAAGCTCTTATTTATCAGAATATGCCATTCTCTCACCACTTGCCCTTATTTTTCTTCCTGTCTGCACAGTGAGAAGGACACTGAAGAATGGTTTGACAACAGAGGAGGCCAATGCTCTCGGTTTGTCCAGTGGTTCAGAGATGCAGGTATGAGCTGGGCCTGGATCCCACCGGACATTAAGACGTCTGGAAGCCCTTTCACTGCCCCCTCCAACCCACTGCACTCCAACTTGGCACTAAAATCCCCCGCTAGCTTTGATGAGTTGATCTCATCTTTATGCGTTTGGTTTACATAGGCTTGACGCAAGTGCTTCCTGAAGAAAGTGGATAAAAAGCTGAACACGATTTTATTCATGAACTGCAGGGCCAGAGAGAGCAGAAACAGAGCGCTGCATTCAAACCACTAAGCTTTGCTGTTGCTGGATAAACATCGATGATCTGCATTCACAAGGCTTAATCACCATCATCCTTCGAACCTGACATTGCTCACAAATACCTGCGCAAAAGCGTATTTTTTAAGGCCAAAGGTATCGAAAGTTGGCAGTGCATATGCTTCAATCTCAGTGGCCTTGACTGAATCAAGAGGGCAAGAGGTGTGGTACAGACACTAAACTCCACTAACTGTGTTTGCTTTGGTTTAGTGTCAGCCCTGCAGCTTTAGTGACAAATTGAAGTGAAAGACATTTCATCTATTGTATAGATGGTTTTGTGCAGAGGGTTATTCTGTTATATACTACTGTGGTAGTTTTGTGTTTCTATTCATTTTGCTCAAGAAGGTGCTCAAATAAGGAACAATTGCACTGGATGTAAAAGTTGGGTATCAATGGAATGTGAAATCCTTGACACTGATGAACCACTCTGACATCTGAATCTGAAAATATACTCAACAGTTTTACCAGCAATTTAACAGTAGCACAGTTTTTAATGTTTAATCCAAGTCGACAGGTTCAAAGCAAGTGTGCATTAGTTTACTGGGTACGAACAAATTTATCAGAGAGACAGTGCAACTATTTTTAAAGACCACGAGGAGAAAGAGAATGTTAATGTGGTTAAGACTGGTAATACCACTAGTTTCAGACTAATGCTCATCACGCAAACATTTTTAGCTTAAGTAAACCTAGACAAGTTGTATCATGTGACCTATTCTCACCAATGGACTGAACAGTTGGGGACAGCTTGAGGAAGGCGGGCACAATGTTACAGGTGTGCGATCTTCGTAAGAGTTATGTAGTTTTATTTTGTAGAAACTATGAGCTGCACATTTCAGAGTGCCTTTCAGAGACAGTTATTTATTATGACGTTTTCAGGGACATATAAAATCAAGAAAATGTTACTACAAATGTGCGGTCTGTAAGGGGCGAGAGGATCATATTGCAATCATTTGTGAGCTGTGATTTATTTTCACCCAGTGTTTTTAAACTTGTCTTGGCTAAGCTTTCAGTTTTTTTTTTTTCCCACGTTATATCTTGGATCAAATAGTTTGTTATGAAGCTTTAAAATATTAATAACAATTTAGGGATTGGTTATGCACATTAGCTGTATCCTGTTGCCTTACTGTAGAATACGGGCTTGCGTTGTTCCACTTTAGTCGAGATCTAGGTAAAATATAACAATTAAAAGTAGATCAGACCAAATTAACGTGTAGTTCAACTGGCATCACTGGAGATCTCGGTTTGTCATTTTCAAGACACATAAAGTATTCCTTCATTATTTAACTATGAATGTGAACATCAGGGGTTACATGATAATTAGTAATATGGACGCACATAAAATATCCATAATTTATCTACTTTAAAACATGTAAATCTGTAATGAACTGAATAAGAAGGAGCCCGCAGTTTAACCTTTTTGATTATGTGGGTATGCTTTTGAACTATTGATGAGCTCACTGTGCTTTTGATTAATTTAGAATGGCCTTGGCTACACTATAACAGCATAATTTAAATCTATCCAATCGCAAATTTTCACTGTGATGGAAACATAGCCATTGAGAGAAACAAGATTCTAGAGCAACATCATGCTAAAGCTACGTAAAACCACACCAGCAGTACGTTTTTGTTTTGTTTGTTTTATTTAGAATTTACTGAAAACTATTCAGCACCTTAGACTCAATGTGTAGCATGCAACTTAGAACTGAAGTTACGAGGGAAGAGCTCATCGTTTCCCGGATTGTACTGACTTTTGTCAAAAACAAGACACAATAGATGTGTAAAGTAATATAGGGGGAATGCTGTAAAATGATGTACATGTCATGACAATGTCTTTATGTTCTTCTGTTTTTTTTTTTTTTGCTCTATGTGTAGAATAGTGTATTATAGACTAAAAAAGCAGTATTATTCTAAATATAATTTAAACAAACCAAGCCATGCATGGTTTAAAAAGGTGTCACTTCTGCTTGATACAAAGGGAGGTTCACTTTGGTTCTCAGAGCTGTAGGGTTTGTGTGCGTGTTATTAAAACTTTTTACTTCACAGACTGATCATATTTACCAGCTACTCCTGTGGAATCCCTTAGAAGCCTTTGATTTCATTGCACTCAACATTTTCCTCTTTTCATTTAACATTAGCCCACCACACACATTGCTGCCTGTGCCATAACATCACTGTGGAACTTGGACACAAGCGCTATACAACCAAGGCTTCTATTGCGTCTATGTGCCCACAGCAAAAACTATGTAACAACTACAATAAAAAGGCTCATTAAAACATTGTTTCTTTTAATCTTCTTTCAGATGTGTTGTTTTGGCTTAGAATCTGGGTTTCCTCCAGGAAGAAGTTAACTTCACATTTAACTATTTCAGAGAAGAAAAATCAAACCAAAAAAAGAAAAAACTTAAGCCTCTTTATTTTTAGTCCACACAACCCATGCTTCAAGTCACTTTATGTTCAAGAGCATACAGAGGTCGATGACAAGCTTAACAATACAGCTCATCTGGTGTTCACACATGGCCATCATACAGACCTCATTTGGTCTTGTTTAAAATTCCTATGTCCACAGGTGTTATGGAGCTAAATGTGATTATGGTTTGCTTTTAATAAATTGCAGAGACATTACAATGAACAAGACAGCTACCTAAAAAAGGGGGGAAGTAGGAAATACAACTGAGCATCAAAAAAAGGAAAAAAAAAAAAAAAAATTAGCTGAAACAGTCTCAGCAAATCCAGTGCAACCCAAGACACGTTCTGCTTTATACTAGCTGAAAACTAAAAACAAGGGCACATCATAAGAATTAAATAATTTGTATCTCCTGATCATAATTCAAATTTATCAATATACATTTTCCCTGAACAATTACTTTTGCACAGTACCTTAGAATTGTATAGATAAATTACAAAATGGAGTATTCCCTTTCCACCAGACATGATTTACTTTGTAAAACCCCTGAAAGACTGACAGGCAGAAAGCTCTTTTGCATTTTACATTTTATATTGCTACATTTTCAACAAAGATTAACAAAGGGATTTTCATTTTTGCATATTTTCTTAGGTTTGTGGTTTGGTGTGCGTCTGCACCAACAATGTCAAATTATCTATAGCACCAAAAGACAAACACCTGACCATTTTGGATGCCAGGTGTTTATTAAAAGTATGGTTTAGAAATATTACATAGCAAGTATGCAGTGCAGTCTAATCGTTAACCACAAAGTGATAAGATTTATAAAATGGCAAAGAAGTAAACAACACTACCTGTATATTATCAGATACAAAGCTGATCCTCATTCAACATCGACAAGTCCAAACTGACAATTTCAATCACTGACTTGTCGTCTATCCCAGGGTCACTGTTGGGATTTTATATTCTGCAATGGATACAAGTAAATTCAGAGCTGCTGTTGGACACAGTTACCGGTGACTGTATGGTACAATAATACACTTTTAGATCTGATCTGAATTAGAAATTATAAAAAGAAGACGACAGCCTTAACGCATACTCACGATTCAGGTTGCCTTCCTTTTAAAAAACAGGGTTTAGGGATCGGTTCAGCTGGAGAAACAACTGAAGCTTAATGTTTGAGGTGTCTAAAAAGCTTATATAAAAATGTGTACCCAAATTATATCTATTCCTGTGAGGGAAATATGTAAATGTTTACATTTTTAAAAATACTTTTTTAAACCGTAGTTACTCATGAAGTTATTTCAACTTATAGCACCAGCTTGTAGATCATGCCAAGCCTTGGGTTTGGTCTTAAGAGCAAATCTGTGCTGCACTAAAAAAGTGTAACCCAGACAGCAGTGAGACAAATTGACAAATCTTCAAAGAACTTAAAGTGCCACTCCAGTCCCACTCCAGCTTCCCAGACTTCAGCTATCTGAACCTAACCACAGTACGCATTTCCTATCTAAGACAACTGATGGGGAGCTTCAAGCATTTCCATGAGGAAAGTGTCAATAGGTGTGTCACCAATCAGCTTGAAGAAGAAAAGATGCTCCAAGCACTTCAAGCCAATGGATCGCAGTGCTGGCAGTCGAAGAAGGAGCTTAGCAAACCTGCAGGGAGGAAATAGGATAAAATTTATGTTTGAGAAGGTAAACAATGCTCCAGAGATGTTTAACTTTGACATTCTACACCGCAAAACAATGCAGTACAGTAAAAAAAATAAAACTTTGTCATGTTTGTTGCATCTCAAGACATTTACCTTCCCTGCTGCTCTGGGTATTTCTGTTTGCAGTAGGCTTCCAATGATGCATAGACCTTTTCTCTCAGGAGCTCCACCTCACTGGTGTTGGAGAGCCCTTTAGCATCTGCAGGAAAATAACATTTTCATTAGGGGCAAGACACTACTCTGTAAGAAAAAAATTTAATCTTAATTATTTATATTATCAGCTTCTTGCACTGTCAAGCACCTGGGTTGAAGAGGACGATAGCTCGGAGACAACCCAGCTCTGTTTTGTCCATTTGCATATCTCTCATTTTATTGACGAGCTCGGTAAGAACCCTAAATAATGACAAGCAATGCAAAGATTTTTTGAAAAAGGTTTTAGAGTGTAAAATACAAAGACCATAATGAGAAAATTACACTTATTTTACTGACTTAATGACATTAATAAACATAAAATTACCTGTCAAATATGGCGCCGACCTCTGCACTCTGCACACTCTCCCTGTGTTAGATATTAACAATTATTATGCAGATACTATGCATATGTAAAACATTAGCCAAAAGCATTACATTTAGTTGAAATTTAAATGCAAGTTTGCTGGAAATTTTTTGTCTCGATCAATGTACCTGTCAAAAATGGCTCCAACTCCTGCACTGTGTGCACTGTCGCGTTGCAGCTCAGAGGCCAGGAGAACTCCATCCTTCAAGGCAATGGAGCGATGGGAGAACGAGGCAATGAGGAGCTCATTCCATCCTGACAAATGAAATACAATAAAACACAAGTAAGTCATGACAGCATTTCCTCCCAAGCATTTTAATTGTTCTTAAGGTGAAATTACCCTTACAATGAAAAGCTGTTGTAAAGAAAACTCTTTCCTTCCTCAGGTTGAAACCAGTTGTACGACTATGCTCGACTCATCCAGCAGCACCTTTTGCAAACTTCCTGCCTTCCCTTTAGACTTATTTCCATTGGGTCCTGACCCAGTGCGTCATTGCAACACACTTCTAATTAAACTAAAATTATTATTGCCAGTTGTCCCTTTGAACAGAAAAAAACAAAACACTTGGGACATCACCAAACACGTAATAACAGGGACCTAGCAACAGTGACTGCAACAATGTCCTCCCATCAGGTGACTCTGCCAATGTGTCTACCAAACTTGTTGTAGATTATCCCTGTGTGAGGCTACTGTAGTTTAAGTATCTAGGCTCACACTCTGTATCCCTCACCTGCCTATGTTTTTGTACACAGTTGTGTTTCAAAAACAATTGGACAAAAATCTTCCTCAATTCCTGAAATGTATGTCCAAATATATATTATTGTGCATCATTTAATATATATTGTTATTTAAATATCCAAGGCAAAAAGCACCTTACAGGCTTTTTTTGGCTCTGCTGGCAAATCAGGAAAAAAAAATCAAGAAAACAGTTCACAGTACTATCTTAGATAGCAATGTAATTGTATAATACAGCTTTACACATGAAAATAGACAATTTCAGCAAATATCCTTGGCCTTGTTATTCTTTCAGAAGTCTAATTTGTAATAATGCAACGTTCACAATCTTCCACACTGAAACTTGCATCAGACCTAATGTGGATCTGATACCTGTGTTCTTGGTAGGTCTTGCAAAAGCAAACCATTTCAATATGACTTCGGTAACACGACTACCTTTCTTTGGCTTCAGTGGCCATTACTCAAGTTTGTTGTTGCAGTAAAGGTCAGATGTCTCCAAGGAAATGGCTACAGCCTACGTTAATGCTGCTGGCATTTGAGTGACAACAGAGGAAGCACTATTCTCATTTTTTAATTTTAGGCATTGTTCACATTTCACATTGTTCAAAAACTAAAGTAAAGTTCTTTAAGTTAAGTTTGTTGTTTTTTGTGTTGATTTTGAAGGTACAGTTCCACGTGGATCATTAATGACTGTAGGTTCTCAATCATACCTGCACGCAGAAGGATGACCTGGTCATCAAGGGGCAGTTCAGAGAAATGAGGGATTCTCTTTGCCCACTCCACCAAGGCAAACAGCTGTTTGTCTGCAGTCTGACAGATGTTGGTAACTGCATCATGGGGCTGGAATCAAACAATACAACAACATGACTATTTGGTTATATATCTAAACCAAATACTTTCAATTATTACAACTTGAAAGCACATGTTTAATCAAGTTATCTTAGAAAATTGAGCCCAAACTCATTGTGCTGCCATGAAAAACACGACTGACACATTTATTTATATAAATCTACTGATTGCCTTGTTCCAACCACTCACAGAGTTGCCTGCAGAGCCTCCGTCAGAATGAAGCTCAGTCTTCAGCTCCACTGCCGTCTCTGCCTCCAAGATCTTCTCCACAGGCATCTCCTCATTCACTCCAACACTGAACTCCAGCTCTCCTTCACGCTCTCGGTTCCTCTGGCGCTCCTCCTGGACCGCTGCATCAGACAAAACGTAAGGAAACAGCGATGGTGGGAGAAAAGGAATGAGATGATGGCTAACACTGAATAATGACAAGACTCTGCTGCATTGAGAAAGTCCTGTTTCCAATTCAGTGCTGTCTTCAAAAAATGGATAATGGATAATGACAAGACTCTGCTGCATTGAGAAAGTCCTGTTTCCAATTCAGTGCTGTCTTCAAAAAATTGAATCATGTCAGGAACAGCAAAAATGAATTTCGAAAGCACTGTAGTCTACTCAGAATTCTGTTAACTCTAAATGGCAATTTCTACTGTACATTGCTAAAGACCTGATTTTAATTCAGGGTGTTAAGAAACTTACTTTAAAATGTTTCTCAATGCATTGTTGCACATAGCGATTTTGGATTTCCAACTTTTTCTACTGTGCACTCTACATAATTAGTATCCATCATGACAAAAGTCTGATGAATTTACTTCCATTATCAACAGAAGTACAGTAACTGGAAGGTTGGAGTTACATGCAAGACTTTGTTATCAACATGCCCTTGATTTAGCTTACATGCATTAGCTTTATGTTTTACAAAAGAATACTAAATTGTTAAAGACAGAATAACAATGCATCTAAAAATCTGTCATTTTTCCCACCCCTACTAAAATGGCAGCATTATTCCAGAGTGGTGCTGTCCTAACAAACACAAAGCACCTTGAGGACAACTGAAGAGCCAAGCGACTAGTATGTGAAGTTCATTAAAACTAAACAGTGGTGAAAAATCGAGCCTGTGCTGTCAACAGCAACCCAAAAGGACACTGATCTCAAACTGATCTACCCATCTCACTGGTAAATCAGACACTCTGACAAAAGTGCAGCCATAAGAAACTGACATGGGAAGGTGATTTAACTGGTGATGAAACAGAAAGACAAAATCTTCAGCTAAATGAAGGCCTTCACTAGAATATGATCCATTACTTTATTTGCTGCTTCAACACCGATCCACTCCATCAGATTTTATACACAGGTACAAAGAACTACGGCTGGCTAACTGCTTATTTTATAAAATTATAAAATCACCACAAGTCAATATACCAAAGCGATCCACGCTCATTCACATTTCTGGGTACACTGTCACCCACAAATCTTCCAGAGAACAAATTTTTCATGCCTAACACATTAGGTCTAATTCTCTAAGTAACATTAAAAATACAGCATCTTTAACATTTTATTGCCATACTCATCCATCCCTCATCCTTTCCATCTTCTTTTATCCACTTTATATGTTTGATCACTATTGAAAGATGGAGAAAGGGTAGAATAGGAGAAAATGAAGGGAAGAGATGGAAAGGGGTTAGTTATATAAACCAGCCCCAATATACCGTACTCTACCCTTTAACACATCTAATCAAGCATCCACCCTCACCTATACCAGAAAACTGAACTCATCAACAAATAATCAATTTAGTTGGGCTTCCTTTAGAATAATTAATTGTTCTAGGAAATCTAATTGCCTGCCAATATTTAAATCATTGTAGAAATCGCAGATATATGTCCCCTTTGTGTATATGCATGTAAGACAACTCACAACAAAACGTGTGACTAAACCGTCAATAACCAAAGGTCCTCAGTATGAACCTCTAATATAACCCTGTTTCTTGCATACCTTCCCTCTTCATGCCCATGGCCAGGCACTTCTGGTAACGGCAGTACTGGCAGCGATTGCGCTGGCGTTTGTCAACCAGGCACTCTTTGTTATCCCTGCAGGTGTAGCTCAGATCTTTGCGCACAGTTCGTTTGAAGAAACCTTTGCAACCCTCACAGCTATACACTCCATAGTGTTTGCCTGTAAATTGCAGAAGTAAAAAGAAAAAGGTAAAAGTTAGAGGCCAATGAGAAGATCAAACATAGCCAATCCAAGTGAAGGCAACAGTCTGACAAACATTTTTTTATTTTCATTAGGAACAGTAACTGACAATTTGTTACACTGTTGAGGAAACAAAGTCAAAAAAATCAGACAGTAAAGGATCAACCACACTAAAATTGACATAGAATAAAAGTCTCCAGCTGATGTTTCATTTCTGCTAATCTTGCTCTTACTGCACTCACTCACCAGAAGAGCGGTCTCCACAGATGACACACAGACGTTTCTGAGACAACATTATTCCAGGGCTGTGAGCTGGCATGGGCCTCAGGCCAAATGGAGGTTTGATATCCTCTGAGCTGCTGATCGAGTGCATCCCTGATATGGGTGCTGAGGAGGAGATCTGGATACACAGTGCAACCAAATAAAACATTTAAACACTGTAATGCCATTGGTTAATTATATGCTCTGTTAGTTTGACTATTTAGTCACCTTTTTCAATACTGGTAAAAAAAATATATATATATCTGACATCAGTGTGTCCAGTCGTGTGCATACAACAGTTTCTGCCAACTAATAAAAGTGCTATTAACCACACTATATATTATAAGAAATTGCATTGCAATGTACCCTAAACTAACATATATACTCTCTGCCCCATTTAAACAAATGCCAGTACCCTACAGATAAAACAGTTTTGGCTTTCATTTACCTGACTGTTGCTGATGGGTCCAAATCCCAGAGAGGGTGAGACCACTGGGGAGTTAAGAGAGGGACTGATAACTGAGAAAGGAGAACCCAAGATGTTGGTGGGGCTGTTGGAGGCTGAACTATTGGGCTGCTGTGAGGACATGGCTAGTAAGCAACCCAGTGGAGAGGATGATGTCCCGTCTGAAGGATATTTATCTGAGGGTGACATAAAAGATAATGATTAGTTGAATGATACCTGTCTTTAACTGTAACTGGCTGTACTTCTACATTGCAAGTAGAACTGAAACAATTACTGATCTATGGTCAACTAGTTTGATACTTGATTAATTGTTATTTTTCAACCAGAGCTGCCAATCATTCTCTGGTTCAAGCCTCTCAAATGAGAGGATTTGCTGCTTAATTCTGTTTTACACAATTAAAGATTAAATATCTTTGAATTCTGGACTGCTGGTCATAAAAATACCTATACATATGACATACCAACTTCCAATTTGAGAAACTAAGGTTGGAAAATTTCACTCTTCTCTAACATTTTATAGACCAATCGAACCACCAAGACAAAAATCGTGAGTTGCAGGACACAGTGACTGCGACTTTCAAATTTTCGAACAGCTTATGTTAGCAAAGTTTCCTATTAAACCAAAACCCTAAATAAACCTGACTCGTGCTGTCACACAAATAGAGTGATTAGATGGACGAATGTGATTGGAACCACAGCATTTATAAGATGAACTGAAGCCCAAAATCAAAATTGTTCTACAACGTTCGCCCTAATCAAATTGGGTAAATGAAAGGGAAAATACACTAAGAGTTAACAACGTTTTGTGTGTTTTGAGTGAGAATCTTTATTCAAACTGAGCAAACCATGAAGTAATTTAAAATTTGCTTATATTAGTCGGTATTTTATAATGTTAACTGACTCCTGATGGAATCGCAATAACGTTACACGTTTGCTAAATGTTGCTAACGATACGTAATAACGTTGACATTAACGTTACTCTGTAATGTTGCGGTTAAATAAATGTTAATCACAAACAGATGTACCAGTATCTTTAACTATTTCCGTGAATTTACACCGGCATTGTATATTATTGGCCAAAACACATAAATAATGCCCTACGTTTGCTTTTGCCGTTTGCTAGCTAGCTAGCTTGCTACAAATCCATAAACGTTCGAAAGACCCTGGCTAGGTAACATTAGCTAGCATTAGCTGGTTTCCATACGTCTGACTGTTACTGCATTTTATAGCGTTTCGTAAAACAAAGATTTAAACAAACCCAGTTAGACTTCAAAATGTGGAGCTTGATAACTCGACAGTGGACGAACCACTTGAATAAATTCGCACAACTAGCGCTATGTTCAGCAGGTAGCCAAGATTAGCTGGTTGGCTGCAGTTACGGCTAACGTAGCTAATATTGCTAACGTTAGCCTAATGCACGGCTCAGGGTGATAATCTGGAGAAGCAGTTATTGACAAAATAACTAATCGAGTCGTTTGAGGGTGGGAATTACTTACCAGACACACCTTCGACGCATTGTTGAAAACCACCTCACTGTACTTATTGTGATCAGACAAGCGCCAGACAACAGGCCGACACTCAGATCCAGTTTACTTCAACTTGACGCTGTTGTTGTTTACAGGCCATGGTGGCTCAGTGCCAGCATCCCTCGAGCCAAAATGTCTCATGGGACCACCCATAACAGCACTGTCATATGACACTCCTGCAGTAGATGTTCAGCTCGATGTACTATTTAAACACACCAATTTTTGTTCTCATAATATTCCCAAAGATTAGAGCATTTGTAATAAAACTATGTTATACAATTTCTGATTTATTACAAATTTATCACCACACATTGTTCTAAGATTGAGTAAATGAGCCTCCAACAAAGCCTACACATTCACACAGAACATCAAGCTGGTCAATGCCCCAAACACTGTCAAAACAGGGAATCACTGATGCATTCAAGAGTAAGTAATGGAAAATGACTCACACAACACATTTGCATGTACTCGGACAAACTGAAGGTACCCTACCAGACAATCAAATGTGTATAGTTGATTGTCTGATTATGATGAGGTGTGGTAATCTAAAATTAAAGTGTGATATAAATGCTATAAATGCTGTGTGATTTTTAGGTGTCCTTATTATGGCACAGTTGATCTAATCTGAACAATTTTTGGACAGCCACTCCTACAAAAAGTGGTTGAAGGAGGGGCATACACAGTATTGCACAACATGTTCTTGCTCCAGTTGTTCAGTAATATTTTCCACTATCTAAAATATTTAACACGATGTTCTGTTTTGAAGTTCATCCTCAAGCTCCCTTGTTCTCCAGAGTGGAGACTGAGTTGCACTTGTGTAGGAGTTGTAATTAGTTGCAACACTTTTTTAACCCTAGGATACAGAAGTGACCTGCAATTTCTTTTAAGCTGCATTTACTTTTTTTTCTTTTTACATGGTTAAATTGTTTAAACTACTAATTTGGTCACCAAAGTTAAAAAGCTGTTTCTGAGAAAAACTCTGTCTGTGTAAACTCACACAGGAGCTGCCCTAAGTTAGATGCAGCCCCCGAAAACATAACATTTTCCAGTAAACAGGCTACTCCAGACCCCAAATATCACAATATTGATTTTTCTTTTCTGATTGATTTACCCACTGAGATGTTTTGAATTCTTAAATATTTGTTACAGTATCTCTGGATTTATCTTCAATATATAGAACAGGGGAGGGAAACATGGGGAAGTGATTTATATTTTTTACTGTTATCAAAACAAGACTTGCTCTTCTTCATTCTTGAACAACCACACTGGATAAAATGTCAAAGACTAATTTTCATTGTAATCTGCTGACATTGCAAAATGATGTCAAAATTGTGGATTGTTCATTTGTCAGCAGATTTAAAAAGTTTTTCACTTGTTATCCTTGTATTTCATGGCAGGTGTAGCTGTTCTCATATTCTCTCTCTCTCATATGCTCTCATTTCATCTCAACAAACCAGAAAGCCATGCGCTGTGCAAGACAAAAAGAAACTTGAAAGACTGCTTCGTCTATAGTTGCTCCTGAAGAGGTGTCTCTTAACAAGCCAGGTGGCATTCTTACTACAAACACTGTGCTGCTCAAAGCTGCTATATGGTACCATTTATTAGGACCAATACCTGGTCACAACAAAACTATAAATTTACCAATAGATCTCTTTTTTTTGTTGCATTTTGTTTACCTGTTTCCTATGATCATGACTGAAAACAGATTCATTGTGAAGAAAAGGAGTCCAATTCTGTATCTGATTTTTATCTCAGGTATGTACATGAATTTTTTTCAACTGTTGTTGGATACTCATAGCTACATGTAGACACCAATCTTTTGAGTATGTGAAGAAAGGTTACTTTTTAGAATATAAAAAAATTCCACGTTATGGTTAGAGATTTTCAATGGATACATGAATACTTGTTACTTGTTACTGCTGTTATTACACCTGCTGTGACTGAACAGACAACCTGTACTTCCACAGGATTCTTCGCAGTGGGATCTTCAGACTTTCACCTTGTTGATATTTCAAACACCTATAAAGAGGCGAAGAGCTATTGCAGAGAGATATACACAGATTTAGCAACAGTTCGGAGCACAGCAGATATGAATAATCTGATCAATTTAGTTTCAACAAATACCACTGCCAGAGCCTGGATAGGACTGGAGATTGGAGATGTGTGGATGTGGCACTGGTCTTGGCCTGATGAAAAACTGGATTTTTTAAACTGGAAGGCAGGAGAACCGCGAAAAAAGAATCAAGATGCTTGTGCAGCAATGGATCGACACGGCGAGTGGTTTGAGAGTGACTGTGGAATCAAAAGAGGTTTTGTTTGTCATGGTAAGTAAAATGACAACATTGCTGTAAAAGTTATTTCACACGGCACAGAACCTCACTATACTTATGTAATAAAATATGAAACTATTGGACTTACAGGAAATGGTGAAACAAGTGGACACATTTTTGTTGATGACACCAAATCATGGAGGGACGCTCAGAATCACTGCAGGGGCTTATCGTCTGATCTGGTTAGCATACACTCAGCAGAAGAGAATGAGGCAGTACATAATGTGTCTGTGTCACAAAATGTGTGGATTGGCCTCTTCAAAGATCCCTGGAAGTGGTCAGATGGGAGCAACTCATCATTCCGTTTCTGGAAACCCCATCAGCCTAACTACCTTGAAGATCAGAAATGTGTTGCAGCTGTATTCAAAGATAAAGGGCAGTGGAATGACCTGAAATGTGGTGGCAAATGCAAATTTGTTTGTCATGGGGGTAAGTCGGTGCTCTTGTGGCAAAGTCAGCACAGTGATGTTGTAGAATTTGCAGAAAGTTCTATTTTAATGTTTTGTAACCTTATGCAACGGACAACAGAGCTACATCCATCACTGTCTTCCTCTCAGTGTCTATTTCATTATTGACTCTTACAGAAAGGAAATCAACTTCAACAACCCAGGCGACCTTTACAACAGATCAACTGCCAACAAACATGACAGCTATTCTGAATACGTCATCTCAAGGGATCATAGCAACATTTAATTTCACTGTGGCTGCTTCCAAACAGCCAAACACTACTAATGTTACCACTGAAGTGGAAACAACTGCCACTGAACTAACAACACCAAATACCACAGGTGTTGTATACAGTACCTCAGTCACTGAGCTCAACAATGCCACTGCAGAGATGTCAACTGTGACAGCTACACAGCTACCTCCAGCAACTACTGTGCAAGTAACCACAGATGGTATTTCTGCATTAACAACACTGGTGGAGACTTCAGCCCAGAACACAACGCAGCTTTCAACTCCAATGTCCACTGAAAACACCCAAAGTTTGCCTCCGGGTATGTTTAAAATTGTCATGTGCCTATGTGTTTATTTTAGATAAATTTACATTATACATTATGGATTTCAGTAATGTTCCTCTTTCTGTTTTCTTCCATTAGGAAATCTGATACTGGTCCAGCAAAACATGACATGGATTGAAGCTATGAGTTACTGCAGGGAGCACCATATTGACCTTATCCATATTTCCTCTAAAGACATTCAAGAGAAGGTGGCTGAAAAGACAAAGAACGCCACTTCAACCCATGTTTGGCTCGGCCTGCGCTACACCTGTAACTTCAATTTTTGGTTCTGGACTAGTTCGACGACCGGCTGTTACCAGAACTGGGCTCCCGGACAAGGATCTGAAGGGAAATATGACTGTGGTGTTACAGGTGCCATTGAGGCCACTGGGAGGCAGCAGTGGGTAGGCTTGCCTGAGACAGAAAAACTGAATTTCATCTGCTATGCATGTGCTGGATGAGTATTAAGGGCCAGTGACACTTAAGATGACAAAGATACTGCAGTTTTAATTATGCTGTGTGAAGAAATAACACATTTGTTCTGGCTGTACAACTATTTTTGCAGTTGATGATTTAACTTTCAGAACCATGTGTCTGACAATTGTAACATTAAGCCAGTGGACCTTGACAAAATGGTTATTTTAATGTTCTCGTATGACGTCATACTTCTACCTTTGTTGAAATACAGCTGCCTTCTCTATTGTTGAGATTGAATTTCATTAAATATGAGAACCTCATGTGGTGTGTAGGCGTGCACATTCACAGTCATGGGCAGCACGAGTAATGTGAGAACACTGATCTTCTCTATGCTTTTCACTTGGGGGTTACTATTTGCATGTTGACCCCCTGGGTTGGGCCCCAAGATTGTCTTTTTTAGACCACCAGAGTATGGCCCAGATCCAGACTGCCTGCTGCCCTCACTGACCTGACCTTCACTAGTAGCCACATGGAAGGCAGAGCTCAGACACTCACCTTCCTGTCTGCACCCTTGAGGTACACAGACCATCTGTAACCATGGGTGAATGATACATTTTTCAGTGATTAAAATTGTACTTCATCAGTTTCAAATAAATGCATCTGTGAATACACAGTTTGTTAGCTGTTAGCTAGTTTTGGACCTTCATTTTTTCACTTCTAACAACACAGTACAAAAGTCCTTCCTTTTTTGAAATAATGACTGCAGATACATGTTTGAAGGAGCGTTTATTGTCAGTTGGTACATGTTAAAGTTTATGTTCTTTGAGGTGGAAAAACAAGGAACTGTGTGAAGAGCAACAACACTGGAAATACGCTGTGCTTAATAGTGTAAGTCATTATAACTGCTGTCAGGTAAAACTTTTGATACTGGATGCACACTGGAGTCCTTAAAGTTTAAACTGAAAATAAAATTGTATGTGTCTAAATCCCAACATATACTGATATTCCTGTTTGGAAAGAAGAGACTGTAATATTTTTTCACCACTTTCATTATTATCCAGATGTGAGCATGCTACTTGTGATAGTTTAATCAGTATATGATTATGTGCATCATTGAATTAAATAATCCTATATAACTACTGAATACTGGTACGTATAGTTTGTAATCCAGTGCTGCATTCTGATAACTGCTTTTGCATCCACAATGAGGGCCTTGTCACTTTTCAATTACCACGGACCATTACACATGAGTGTGTCATAGCTTAGTTTCTCACTGAATAGGCATTGGTCAGTGAGCCTCCCATCAGTTCAATGTTAATGTCCCATTGGGTCCAGTCAGTGGGTCCGTGGACCACCCCCTCACCTCCTTTTCTCACCCTCATCTCCTCTTGTGTGCTGTCCAGCTGGCTCTGACCTCTGACCCGTCCACCCTCACTCCTGACCCCTGGGGACATTCCCACGCCACACCCTTTTGTGTACACCTCTCCATGGTAACCCAGTGGTCACTGCATCTGCATTTGTAGAGATTATGGTGATAAACATAAATTCACTTTCACTTGGATCAGTGTAATGAAGCCTAATTTTGCCTAATACCAATTCAAGTATGAGGTTTTACAAAACGGATACCTGTATATTAATTAAAGGTGTGTGAACAATTTTCACCAAATATAAAATAAAAACATATAATTTACTTTAGGCTATATTTTAGTTCATCATATAGGATATTTATCTCTCTAATACCATACAGAATATGTTTACTAAATCAAAAAGATGAATGCAGGAACTAAACGATGCAATTTAAGGTTGCTAACAACTAAACAACTAAAATGAATCCATATTAAGGTCAGCAAACATACTTTTTGGGTTTTAATTCAGAAATTTCTGAAGTTGAAACTTTAAAATCAAGTGCAAATATTAATTTTGACTTCTATCTACTACTTCTCTCTACCTGTCTTACACACTTCTGTCTTTCTCCTCTCTCCCTTTCTTCTCTGAGTCTGCACCCCTCCGTAGATCCCTCCCTTCTTTTCCTTCTGTCACTTTCACACTTAATTGTAGAAAAAGAGATTTTCTCCATTGAGGCTGAGTCTCTTAGGTAACCCCATTCCTGCATGAAATGAGATGGATAGAGGGAAAGACATAGAGAAGGGGACATGGACAGGCAGACTGAACAAGCAGCGGTTGAGGACGGATGCAGAGGAGAGTGGACTTTACAATATTTGAAAAAAGTTAGAATGAAAGAATAAGAATTTAATATTTCATGGTGCTAGTGACACATAATTAATCACTCCTTTTCTGGGAATATTATTACTCTGTTACTGATGGTGCATAATGTAAGTATTAATGTAATTAATAGCTTTTTCACTTGTTAGCAAAACTTAATTCATTAATACACTTGTTAATACCTGAGAAGTAAAGATAATTAGTAGCTGAATAATATGTACATTTTTAAAAAAGCATTTAGTAGTAGAAACGTATAATATCTAGAAGAAACAGTTACTATTGGATTTTTGAGTGTGTAGCCTGTTCTCTTTTGACAGTTCATCAATGCTTCATCTCATAACAAACAGTAACTCTTTGAACAAAAGCTTTAAAAAGTTCAGGACATTTTATGATAGATATTTTTGCACTTATTTTGATTAATATTTTATCAAACCATCTATTCACCACAGGATTTACTTCCAGGGCAAGGAGATGCCACTGATGTTCTTTCCAAGTTTGACAGGGAGTCTGGTGTTGATTGTCCAAACGCAATTCTTGTATTACTTCTCCATACTTAGGAGTTGTGGATGGACATCATGCCCCCGACTCTCATTTCCGTCCTCTTACTTCTTACTGTTATAACACAGAGATCAACATCTGAAGTAATTAAATGTGATGTAGCTGTGTGCCAAGATGGGAATATATTTCAATTGTTGAAGTTTGACTTTGCAGGGCTGATACTGATAGATAGATAGATAGATAGATAGATAGATAGATAGATAGATAGATAGATACTTTATTTATCCCCTATAGGGGAAATTCATGTGTCCATTAGCTCAGTGTTGATAATAATAAAAACAGTTAATAATGAATAAATAATAATAATTAAATTTGTCCACTTTCTTTGGCTGAGTTGTTGTATAGCCTGATAGCAGTGGGAACATGGGAACAAAGGATCTCCTGAACCTCTCTGTTCTGCAGCGCAGTGAGATCAGATGTTTGCTGCTGTAGCTGCTTCTCTGTCCTCCCAGAATGTTGTGGACAGGATGGTTGGTATTATCCAAGATGGCCTACATCTTACTTTGCATGCATCTCTCCACAACAGTCCTGAGTGAGTCCAGACTAGGAGCATTTTCAAATTTAATGCAACTGAAAATTTGTGATTATCAATATATGTGACGTTAGATTCAAGTTTAATCAGGTTTTAGTTAGGTTTCTCAATTTAAAATCTGTCTTCATAATACACATTGAGTTTCTAGACCCTGGACTTGGAATTTCCTCAATTCTCTCTTGTACGCTGCCTATTTCTCCAAGGCTGCAGCAGCGGCCTGACTTTTTTCAATTTTCTGTTAATCATATTGACTTGAAGTAACAAGTAAACTGAATATGTGGATTAGTTGCTTATTTAGTTTTCTGGACAGCTAAATGTGAAAAAGTTCAATTTCTATCTCGGGGGAGAATACGATTATTAATGGATGAGGAGATGACATGGCACAGGGCCACATGGTATATGGTTGGTGAAGTGAAATGGAGGCTGACAGAGATGTTTTTTCCTTGTGCCAAATGAATCTTTGGACTATATAGGACCATGACTTACATATTTTAATTATGTGCATAACTGAGTAAGAGTGATTAAGCACATGTCAGTTATTTGATGTTACTGCCATATGTTATCTTTTATCAGTCTGAGAGTTCATTTTATACAATTCCACATTTGTTACAAAGATACAGTATGTACTTTTATAATGTATTGCATATGGACAAAGAAGGACTTAGAATTCAAATCTCCACTCACTATTTGAGAAGGGCCCTGCAGGGTGGGAAATGGAGGCAGAATTTCAGAAACTTTATGGATCAGTGCCTCGACCTGAAGCTTTGAGCTGGAATAGCCATTTGGGGCCTTAAATTCCAGGATGTTTGTGTTTACATTTATATAAGAATTATTTGTATAAGTAAGTAAATAGAATATTGCATTAGTTGTCAGTTAAAGCTATTAAAAAAGTTGCACTTGGAAGAAGGTTATAATTTTACTACTCTCTTGATTGCATCTTTCATCAAGCTGTTTATTTGGAAAAAATAAAGGTTCTGACATTGTCTCTGTGTTTGTCATTAATCACACTGCTCCATTTTGCCAGATCATAACAGAGTTTGGCAGCTTTTCAAATTCCATTCAGCAGACCATCAGTTCACTGATGAATACACAAATGATAAGGATTGCTTTATAACTTATCTGCAGAGGCCATATGGTTTATATAAGAAGCTTAAGTGGCTATTTATAAGAGTCATTAAAAGACAGTGATTTGCAGAACTTAAGAAATTTGCAGATTTACTTAATTTGAAAAACATTGCTGAATCATTTGTTGTAGAGTGAACAGTTCTCACTCCAACCCATACCCAAAGAGCCAAACCTCGATTTCTTGTAAATCACATGACTTTGGGGAAATCTGGCTGACTTGCAACAACCAATAAGAGGATGGTTACACATTGTGAAACAGAAACAAACACTTTTCATGTTGCAAGCCAAGTAGTGCTTTAAAGTGGACTTTTATACAAACCAAACATGTTATCATCTGAGATGCATCTGTCAGTCCATTACAATCTGGTCTTTATTGTTATATTCTCATATTTTAGATAAATCAGTTTAGATCACCTACTTTAATTTATACAGAAATGTATACACTACTCACCCAAAGAATATGCTACACATTTGTACACATGCATGTACGCATGGTGTATGTGACAGTATGATGATTTTCTCAGTTTATATGATGGCACATGCTACTTGAGGGTGAGGAATGATAGATATTTCTAAGTTTACTCAAAAGGAAAAAAAGAGGGAGGGCATACCAGCGATTGAGAAATACAGGGGTGGATAAATAATAAAACCTCAGTTGATCAAAATCCTGTGTCAGAGCAGAGAAAGACATAGAAGCTGCACAATGGAGCGTCATATGATTTCAATACTGCTCCTGATCATGACTGTGGACTCAGTGTGCTCAAGGTAAAATTCCAAAATCTAGATTGCGTAATAATGTAATGTTATGCTGACCTATTTGTGCTCAATGCAAAGAGGATTCAAATATATTTTTTGTTTTCTGGTTAAATGATTATTTTGTCACAATGTAATATATCAGACAAAATAATTTGCATTGCAGATGTTTATCTATAAGCAAAAAAGTATGGCAATGAAGAGCTATTTTTCACCTTTGTGTACAGATTCTTCATCTCAGCACCCAATGTATTTCATGTGGGAGTTACTGAGAAAGTGTTAGTCCAGATGGGAAAACCTCATCTCAACAGACCTGTCACTCTCTATCTGGAGTTTGAGAGTTCAGGTTATGTTGTGTCTACGAAGGAAACGGTTGTGTGTACTAACGAACAGGATATCAAAACAGTTGAGCTGAAGGTATGAAAACTTCCTTACTCATAAGCTAATTATATAGACTGAAATGTCATTATCCCAAACTTCTATTTCGCTTCTTTACAGATAAACAGGGAAATGATGTCAAGACTTGACTCGGGAAAACAAAAAAAACCTTATCTTTTACTGGTGGCAGAGAGCCCGTCCTTCAGTAGCAGGAAGATAACAAGGGTCCTGGTATCAAAACACAGGGGCTATATCTTTATTCAGACTAATCAGCCAATGTACAACCCGACACAGAAAGGTAAATTGAAAGTCAACAAATGTGAAAAAAATGTAAAACAGGAAGGATTAACAGTGATATTTAAAGCCATTATGTTGATTATCTCTCTATAGTGAAGTACAGGATATTCACTCTTGACCACACATTCAGGCCTCACGAGGAAGTGTTCCAAATATCAGTAATTGTGAGTAGATATGTTTTCTTTAATGCTAATTGAATAAAGAGGACTTTGAAAGATCTGTACAACTGATTCATGCTTTTATCATTTTATTACAGAATGCTGCTGGAAACAGAGTAATGAAGTCCCTTAAAACTGCAAAGGGGGGAATACTCAGAGGCATATTCCCCATACCTGATGTCTCTAAGTATGTAATAACACATTTGCAATTAATTTGGACTTACACTTTAACAACACAAGATACCTTAATAACAAACGTATGTTTTGTTTACATAGAATGGGCACGTGGAAGATTACAGCACACTATGAAGGTGATGAAGACAATGCAGTTTCTCGAGAATTCAAAGTCCAAAAATTTGGTAAGCTAATAATATGATTAAAGTATATTCCTCTTTTTAAATTAAAATATTATTTTTTTTCAATCTTAAATCATTATTTATTTATTATTGTTACACACCTTAGTTTTACCAAGTTTTGAGGTGAACATCGCAATGGAGGAGAACTATATTTTGCTGAATGCTGAGCAGTTTAACTTCACCATCTCAGCCATGTAAGTGTTGATTCATTCATTCAAAAATGGCTTATTGCTGAAGTAAGCTAAGGTTAAAAGTGGCTAAAAATCTCTGCAGGGCAGCAGAAATGTAACCCTACTAAAAGTGACCCCTTTCAAATTATAGGCCTACTAAGTAATTTGATTCAGTGTTAATATAAAGATTTTGATTAATACACCCTTCAATAATTAGGGACTCTCACTGCTGAGTCCACATAGTTTACAATATACAGGTTGGGTTGCGTTTCTCAAGCCTCATTATATCATATCAATATCATTATATTTTCAGACTCACTTTTTATCTTAACTTCAGAAGTTAGAATTTTTAAATGATTTTCTTTCTAGGTATTCACATGGTGAAAAAGTTAAAGGGGCTTACCATTGCCAACTTGGAATAGTAGGAAAAGCTACAACCAATGGTGGAAAAATAAAGCCTATCACGGGACTGGAGCTGACTGGTTCGGTGAGGAAACATATACCTATACAAGATTTATAATGCAGCTCATTTCAAGATATGAGATTAGATAATCTGTCCACATATTGCATCTCTTAAGTGTTTCATTACTTCAAAACCTACTGTTTATGCCATTTCTTGCAGGTCCAGGATGGAACTGCAGAGGTTTCTCTCCGTACAGCAAAGATAAATAATCAACTCCAAAACAAGATGAACCAAACCCTCTCTGATTTACAGCAAAGTGGAGCACAACTCTATTTGAGATTATTTGTCACCAACATACAAAGTAAAGGACACACTGTCACACTTAATACATATATTATATACGTATTTATTATTAATTTTTTTTATTTATTTATTTATTTAAATGTACAGTAAAATAACTATACACCTATGAAATAGATATAGAATTATTTTAATGATATGAGCCGATCAAAAATGTGAAAAAGTACCCTGTGTGGCTCAAAAATTAACATTACTTATTATATATTCATAATCTAAGTTTTACTGACAGATGGTATTACTACAGGAATATTTCTGGTATTTAAAAATAGCAATATTAACAAAAATGATTTTACTACTACTATAAATAAAAATAATATTAATAACAATTTATCTCAAAGTATAAGGATAAATCTGTTGAGAAGTGCCACCTTGTATTTCAGAGAGTATGAGAAGATATTGTGAATATTATTGTGATTTTTCATTGTGGCTGATATTGCTATGTGCATATTTTGACACAGGTGGTGAAATGCAAGAGGCAGAAGTTTATCTTCCTGTTGTCTCTCACAAATACACCATGGATCTCTCTCGAACTCGCTCATACTTCCTCCCTGGATATCCACTAGATGTAGTGGTATGCATAAAATAAACAAATGGGTACACAGCTAAGGACATGACTGTGATGATTTTGCATGTAAAAGAGTTTGTTTGTTGTTATAGGTGGTCATGAGTCGCCCAGACGGCTCTGCAGCAGCTGGTGTGCCAGTAAACATCAATGTACCAGGATCTTCAGAGCAATCTTTCCAAGGCATTACTGACCAGGAGGGGGCAGTGTTTTCTACCTTTAATATTGACACTATAGACGAGATTCCTGTTGAAGTCAGTATCCCCAAACTCAGTCGAAGGTCTTATCAAACTTGCTTTTGTTCAGTTTTAACAGTTTCTACCTCTGGCTCCAAAAGGTGACCACAGACGGCCTGCAACAGAGGAAAGTAATTAGACGTGCTTCATCTCCAAGTAACAGCTACCTCTACATGAGTTTTAGCAACAAGATGCACTCTGTGAATCATTTACTTGCAGTTACATACAACACCGTGAATAGCCCAAATGATGGGTATATATACTACACGGTGAGCCATAACAGATGAAATACATCATGATACGTTTTAAGAAAGAAGAGCAGCAGTTTGTCATAATTGAACATTTGTGATTGTCTCTGTTGCAGGTCCTAAGCCGTGGGATCATAATAAAAAATGGTAGTCACTCAATTGGTAGATCAGTTAAACACAACCTACATATAACACCTGATATGGTTCCATCCTTCCGTCTGATTGGCTACTTCTACAACCAGAATGGTGACATCATTGCAGACTCGGTGTGGGTAGATGTCACGGATGAATGTGAGATAAAGGTCAAGGTGAGTAAACAGAACAGATAAGAGTGAAGCATGGGCAGAGTGAAACAGCGGACAGACAGAGCTTTACCTCTGTTGACTGTGTGTTTGAATAAAGTGATTTGAGTGGGACAGTTTTCATATAGGTTTGAATCTGTTTTAAATGAGGCGAAAGGGTGCTTTTTTAAATGTATTGATGGAATTAACGTTGAACTTGGACAACAGCATGTAAAAATCTCTGTATTGTAACTTAAATTTAGGTAGAACACAAAGGATCTGTTGAACCTGGAAGACAGTCAAAGCTAGAATTTGATTTAGATGGACAGAGCGCCAAAGTGGCTTTGCTTGCTGTGGATAAGGCCTTCTACGCTCTCAATGCCGATAATAAACTCACAGCCAGAAAGGTATCACTTTCACACCCTCCTTTTATACTTTTTCTCTTTTTTTTAATTTTTATTTTTATCTCAACTTCTATATTACAATACAGTAAATTCAATCTCTTGCTCACACTTTTCAGGTGTTTTCTGCTATGCAGTCATATGATCTTGGTTGCTCATATGGTGGAGGACCTGACCCAGTATCCGTACTAAGAGATGCTGGCCTGTCTTTTGTATCTCAGTCCGAGTCAGGGTCGAAAGGGGGTATGACAAAAACAAATTTTCATGAAAATCATTGATATAGCATCCTTAGCAAGCTTGAACATGGTATTAATAGTTAAATACTGTTTTATTATTTCTTCTTGATATTTTTTGAAATAAGACAGGATACTGCTGGTATAGCAAAATTGGATGAGAACAAAACTGTGACGTCTGCATATAAGACCAGGCTTTTATCTGACTTTCCTATTTTAATCTGAAAAATATCCAGATGATTCAAACTTGAAAGTGTCTTGAAAGCAGGTGTCCACTTACTTATCCCATGATCTTTTATGCTGTACTTTTCAGATTTTCACTGTAATTCACAATCTGCACGACATAGACGCTCCGTGGACCTTCAACAGGAAATGATGACCTTAAGTGAGACAACACTGTAGCATCACACCTTTGGTCTGAGATAATGTAAGATACTTCTGACAACAATGTTCCATAAAAATGTGTCTTCTTTTTCACTTTCAGAATCTAACTTTTCAGATGAAATACTTCAAGAATGTTGTGGTCATGGGTTAACTCTCATCCCTATGACACTAACATGTCAGGAAAGAGCAAAGAGAGTCTCTCTGGTGCGACAAAATCAAGATTGTGCAGACGCCTTTTTAAAATGCTGCCTTGAAGGAGAGCGTCTGAGACAAAAAAAGCTACAAGAGGATTCCCTGAAAGGACTTGGCCGGAGTGAGATGAAATTGTCATGAGGACATTATAATACAAAATAATACTCTACACACTTGTTTAAGCAGCATTTAATAACTGTGGCATGATCATCACAGATTTTGAAAACATACCTTTCATTTTCTTATTTTGTAGCTGTAACAGCAGCTGACATCGAGCAGTTCTTCTTGGACACTGCTGCTCAATATATTCGACGACTTTTCCCTCCAAGCTTTGCATTCACAGAATTTGATGTAAATGGCAAACGAAGGTAAGAGGTGGACAGTGAACACTTAAGACAGTTTTAATGTAATATTTCCTTTTCCAATGAAATACAGTGGCTAGTTACAGCCACTACAAGCTTTTCTAAACCATAGTTTTCCATTTGTTAATATTTATTTCTAATATTGTCAATGTGAGAATTTCAGCTTTCTCTACTGTTCAGTGTCAGTGAACATGGTTCACAACAAACTTAAGTCTACAGTGTAAATTATAAATAGACAAAGCATTTGTCAGATGCATTTTACAGCTTTTGACCTATTTTATCTTCACTGAAAACTTTTTTAGTTATCCCTTGACTCTACCTGATTCCATCACCACATGGGAAATTCAGATCATCACATTATCTGCTGCCAGTGGTAATAACTAAACTTCCAACTTCACAAATGCATCTTGTATATTTGAATAAAGATAATAAATATTCCTCTTTATTAATGTTCTATCCTCTTAACTGCAACTGACTTACTCTATGTTTCATTCAGGTTTCTGTGTAGTGAAGCCAACTGAAATCAGAGCATTTAAGAACACCTTTGTGTCACTGAGACTGCCATACTCAGTGAGAAAATATGAGCAAATATCCATTTCACCTGTTATCTACAACTATGGCAGTGACCAACTAAAGGTAGATATAACCTAATGTTGATGTTAAGTGGCACTTAATTAATTTACCACCTACTGTACAAAAACCTGAAATTGGATTCTTAATGTTGTTTTTGTCTTTGGACACCTGTATTCTATAGTTAGCAGTTCATATGGAACAAACTGAAGGACTTTGCTCACCTGGCTCAGCCACCACTACAGGTTTTGTTAACATTACTGTGGAGCCAGATTCCTCCCAGTTTGTCTCTTTCTCCGCTGTCCCCATGGTAACCGGCTCAATACCCATCAAAATACGTGTCTATGATATAGAGAATGGGAATGGAATAGATGCAGTTGAAAAGACTTTGAATGTGTGGGTGAGTAAATTACACATTATTTTATCTCTCTGCAAAGTCATTATTTTATAATAGAGGCCTACCAGAAAATACAAATTTGTCAACATCGCACGGGACACACAGTAATTTGGCTTCCTGTTATCTCATGTTGTAGACAGAAGGATTAGAACAGAGAGTTGAGGAAACCAAATTGATTAAATTAGACGGTGAGTTATTTCAGTATTCATCAGTTTTCATCAATGATGCTTGATATTTGTGATTTTTTTTTATCTTCAATATATCACATTTGTTTTAATAAATGTATTTCTCTGTTGTGAAAGGGAAGCGCACACTGACTTTAACTTTGGATGGAAGTTTACCAGATGAAACTGTCCCCGACTCCAGCTCCAATCTTTTTGTTTCAGTGGAAGGTATGTACTGTTAATATATATTGTCAGACACAGACAAATTTCACAGATCTTTTTAAATGACAGTGTCTTGCCTTTTCAATGCTCTCACCTGACAGAGAATGGATTTGGTTCACAAGTGATAAACCTTCTGTCTCCTGAGAAGGTCGCTAGCCTGATCCGATTGCCTACAGGATGTTGTGAACAGACAATGTCAGGACTTGCCCCTACAGCTGCAGCACTCCGCTACCTTGATCTGAGTGAGCAATGGTTTACCTTGCCTGTTGGTTCCAGAGATGATGCCTTTGATAAAATTGAGCAAGGTAGGAACGCATCATGTAGTTAATTGCATAACGTCTTAATCATTTGATAATTATGTCTGTAACTCTTTGTTGTGGAAACATGCACACAAATTTAGAACAAAGAAGAGAATAGGTTGAGATAAACCTAAATTGTCATTTCTAAGGACCTCATTAAGAGTTAATGTGGATTGCTCCTTTTGTTCATTAGTAGACCCTAAAGTTGCCGGTGTTGGTTTCTATTACACAATGTGTCTTGACCAGATTGACATGGAATTTGCTCTGGACACCCAGTGTCCCTAGAGGAAGAATTCAAGTTGAATTGAATTCACCATTTCATAGTTTCTCCACCAGAGAGTGGTGACAAGTGTATTGTTCAATTGTAAAATGTCCTGCCCAATACATTTCTTAGTGTTTGAGGGATCAATTAAGATTGTGTATTTATACTAAGGGTTTTATAGAAACAAAATTTTATTTGCCAATATTTTGTAACAGACTGGGTGACATGTTAATGTAACTATTATGTTATGGAGTTACTGTGGTTCATAATTACAGTTACTAAGTTTTACAGGTTGTCACTGAATGTGTCTTATGCTTAGAGGCTGTGAAGCCTGTCAGTTATCGCAGCAACCTATGACAGGGATTTCTGTGAGACAACGTACCTGTGACTGGCTTAGGGTGAGGGGGACAGGTTGTTGTTGTTCCTGGTAAACAGGGAGGGGGAGTTATTGGAGTCGGTTGACAGAGCTGAGATTATGCTGTGAAACCAGTTAAGATTTGTTGTTTTGGCATTGACCATGGGTGAAACAAGCTCACGACCCATAGCTTCATTATTGAGGGACGCCACAATATTATTATTGGATTTCTTTTTTTTTTTTTGGCATTTCCGCCTTTATTATTATTTTTTGATAGAGAGAGTGAAGAGAGACAAGAAAGACAGGGAAGATGACATGCAGTAAAGGGCTCATGCAGTATTTGAACCCCAGCCACTGCAGTCAGGCCTCAGCCTTGACATGTGATACATGCTCTACCAGGTGACGGACTGAGGCGCCCATTATTGGTCAAAAAATTGAGTTATAGTTATTGCAAATCAGAAAACAATATAACTGAAACCAGTTGATGGTGGCAGAATAAGTGATGGTGAGGTCACTCGTAGAAAAACTCTTCTATAGCGCTGCTTGAGGTCCAAAAATCCACAGAGAATCTGTAACATATTTTAACTGGGTAAAGTTTATTTGTGAATCAAAAGTGACCCATAGACTTCAATTGTATCTTTCTGTTTCTCATTAGTATTGTGGGATAATATGAATGTTGTGCCCTCTACAGGTCATCAACAAGACTATTGACAGTTTTGTTTTAAAGAAACACTTTTTTTTGTCAGGTTATGTAAGGGTTTTAACATACAAGACATCTGATGGATCTTATAAACCATGGAGTTCAAATGCCTCTGGTAATTGGTGAGTATTTTTTTATATGTCACCTTGTTGATACCTGATACCTGCAACCTATTTCTCTGTTTCATTAGGGCTTGGTGATATGACTGAAAACATATCAAGATTGTTTTAAACCTTTACCTTCTATCAGATTTTCAGATGTTAACACACTATGATTAGAGTGGTGTGAAGAAAGAATTCACTCATTAACAATCACTTGTCTCTTTTTTCCGCTTAAAGCTAGACTTACTAGACTGATACATATCTGTTCAAATATTATGGGCCAAAACAAAGAGGATGTTGTCTCTGGCTGGTAATATTGCGTCAGATGTTGCACATATCTTATCAGCTTCTTCAATCAAACAGAGGATTTAGAGCCCTAAGGGCTAAACTGAACATATTAAAGAATTGAGGAACAGATTTTTTTCTTCAGTCTGACAAACTCTTCTCAAACCTCTTCTCAGTCAGCCTATATGTACCCGTGTAGACTAAGGACTGAATGTGGAAGTAAGCGTTTATATTGATCGCACTGCAGCTACTAAGCCGTAATGTCTGATGTAATATATGTCTGCAGTATTTATTTTGTTGTTTGGTTTAATGTTGTGTTTTTGTGTGATAAACAGCGTATGCCTTGGCATGCAAGAAAATTTCAGAAGAATAATTTGACTTTAAAGTAAATTGTAATCAAAACCAAATCAAATATCTCACATGATGAATAAACTTTCTTTATTTCCAGTATGTCAAACTGTAAATCAACCTTTTCCATCCACTCTGCTCCATTACTTTTCTTTCTCTTGTCCTCAGGCTGAGTGCCTTTGTGTTGAAAGTGCTGTCACTGGTGGCTCAACGTCAGACAGTGGCATTTGGACAGCAAGGCCGGAAAGCTAGGGTTGTACCAGTAGAAGATATCAGGCACACAGTCCGTTATTTGCTCTCAGTACAGAATACTGACGGCTCATTCAGTGACCCACATCCTGTGTTACACAGATCTGTCCTGGTAACCTCATCGCCCTAACTCTTTTACATGTTACTGCGTAGTGTACATGTTACAACATATATATGAAAAACTGAGCAGCAGTGATTTGAATGCAGTATTGTCCCTGTGTATTTAATGTAGAAAGGCAAAGATCGGGAAGCATCCTTGACGGCTTTTGTAGCTCTTGCACTGCACCAGTCCCTTCAATTCCTGACATCTGAAGCACGAAATGATGTGGTGAGATAATATAAAAACGTATTATCCTGGATGTTAGCATTGTCAGGTCCACTGAAATATTGGACTGTCATGCAATTTTATACAGACATTCATGTTAGGATGAATCCTAAAAACTTTGGTGTTCCCTGAATTTTCATCTAGCGCCATTAAATCAGAAATGTTTCAAATGCAAATTTCTAACATGCTAAAATAAAAGCAAGATGAATTGTAAAGATTGTATCTGCTTATCATCAACATGTTAGCATTTTGAGCATGTTAGCATTACTATTCAGCTCAAAGCACTGCTGTGTTTAAGTACAGCCTCACATACATGCTAGAGTGGCTGTTGACTTTTAGCATTAAAATGCACCGAAAATAAGACTATAACAATAAGAAAGTACCATTTGCTGGGAAGATTAGATGAATATAATTAATTGACTGCCTTTATGCTACCTTCTACCAGGAAGAAAGCATTTCAAGTTCAACAATGTATCTCAAGTCAAACCTGGCGGAGCTTCAGCATCCCTATGCTGTGGCCATTACAGCCTACTGCCTCTCAGTTTGTCTGCCAGAGGGAACAGATCTTTCAGCTGTCTGGACAAGACTTCAAGCAATGGCCATTGAACGTATGTTTCATCAAAGGAAAGAGGAGTTGGTGATATGGATAGAATTCTCTATCATGGAGAAGAGAGATTTATTTCATGATATAATCAGTCATAGTCATGATGTAGTCATGGTTTATGGAAAAAATAACCTGACAAAAATGTCTGTTTTTATCAAATCCAAAAAGTTAACTATGTGACACATTGTCCAAAAACTGTTAAAACTGATTATTGCTACAAAATAGTTCAAGTGATAGCTATTATTTTGTTGAAAATATAACAAAATATATGTCCACTGACAAATCTATGTCATATCACTGTCTATATCATCATGTCGCCCAACCCTAAGAGCAACCATACTCATTGTTCTCAAAATGTGAAGTTCAACAAATGGGTCTGGCACAGTGTGCTATTGTTTGAGACATTACAGTTTCTCTCATGTTTACTAATTGTCTATTTCTCAATTGTCAGGGGCTGATGGCTGTTATCTGTGGACAACTGATCCCACAACGCGTAATGAAAAGAAGGCAAATGCCATCACAGTAGAGACAACAGCCTATGCCCTCCTAACTGCAGTGGCACTTAAGCATACCGAGTGGGCAGACAAAGCAGCCTGCTGGTTAATCTCCCAAGAAAACTATTTTGGAACCTACAGATCAACACAGGTGAATAGCATGCTAGAATTGCTTAAACCCAAAGAATCCATGTGTTTGGACATGGCCCCTATATTCTTACCCACATCATGCAGTGTAGGCCAAATAAATCTACATTGTGCATATGTTAACATATTATAAATGTTTTTTATACTGTGTCCAGGATACCGTCATGGCACTGGAAGCCCTCGCGGAGTATGATCTAAAGAGGTCCAACAGTCCTGCAGCAAACTTAATAGCAGAGTTCAGAGTCCCAGGAAAGAATGACATTGTAACGATTGCACTGGAAAATAAGGAGAAAGTGGAAACAGATCTGAAGGTATCATAGAGCATTTCAACAGTTCACTTCGATACACATAAATATTTAACCTCATTCTAAAATGACTTGTTTTGTCTTGTGTCTGTTGTCCCAGAAACTGAGTGGGAACAACATTGCTGTGCAGTTGTCAGGAAAAGGACAAGCCAAACTAAAAGTAAGTTTCATTCATTTCTGTATATATGCTGAACAAGAGCCATAATTAACAGAACATCACCAACCTCCTTGACAGATTCTTAAAGCTTACCATCTACTGGAACCCAAGGATGACTGTCTTAAACTGTCCATCAGCGTCACAGTGGAGGGAAAAGTGAAGTACACTGGTGTGTTTTTGTCACCGATACCAAATCACAGATATATGGCTTGCTGATAAAAGATACACTGTCACATCAACCTCTGTCTCCTTAGCTAAAGTCATAGAAACTTATGATTACTATGAGGACTACGATACCAATGAGGAAAAAGAGGGGCGAGTGCCTCGATCAGCGATTGAGTGGTTTGATGCTCGCACCCGAAGCAGGAGAGATGTTGAAAACAACTTAAATTCAGACGAGACTGTCACCTACAGAGTCTGTGTCAGGTTCGTTAAATGAGACTCATATGGTCTTCATAAGCCTTCATGAGACAATGAGCTTTACAGCAAAAGGTCATAAATCCTTATCAGGTTTTTTTTGTGTGTGTAGTCATAGCCTGAGCCACAACCTATCAGGAATGGCCATTGCTGACATCACACTACTGAGTGGATTTGAGGCTGTAACTGAGGACCTGGACAGGGTAAGTAGCCCTGTCTGCTTCCTCTTCATGACTGTCATCCTCAACGCAAAGTGGTGGGAGATATTTTGGACACCTCCTGTCTTGCCCCATTATTTTCTTTAGTGGAGAAGCTGTAGTGACAGTTGAAGTTGGAGCAAAGTTTGAATTGACACGAAACTCTCCTGAATGAATCAGTGCAAAAGATTAGATTATGTACATAAAAACTTAAGGTAAAAAGTTACCTGGGCCCTGCATTCAGTGGAGACTCCAGTAAGTTACTGGTCTTTGCCAGGACATAGTCTTTGATATAACCCACTGTAAAACTGAGATCTGTTGTTTTTACACCTTGTCTTTTTGTATGTATTATTTTTTTTACTTTAGCGCCGTGTTTAATTCTCATTTGCAATGACTGTTTTAAATTCACTTCTAATTTGTGCCTCTGACTGGCTTCTCCACCACAGAGATTGTTGCCAAACTTTATGAGCATTACTATATGTAACACCATTGTCCTTGCCAAAGTAAAAAAACAAGAAAATAAAAACATGATTTCTCAGAATTTACAACTGGGGGCTATGACATAAATGTACAAATGTACAGGATCATAACATTATCTGGGGGAACAAGAAACAATTTGAACAAATTGAAGACAAAGACACAGATGAGAGGAGGGGTCTTTTCTTCTGCAATAATGTCAAATAGTTTAATTATTTTCTCCTCCCAGCTAAAACAGCAACCTGAGCAATACATTTCCCATTATGAAGTCTCCTATGGAAGGGTGCTGATCTACTTCAATGAGGTAAAACTAAAATCTATTTACATTCACATTAAAAATTTTACATGCCCAATACTAAAAGAGTTCCTCTCTTGTTAGCTTCTTGAACCGGAGGAATGTATTAGTTTCGATGCTATACAGAGAGTGCCAATTGGCCTCCTGCAGCCTGCTCCAGCCGTGTTCTATGACTATTATGAACCAGGTAAACTTTTTGTTGTCTCTTCTCTAACCCTTCAGGATACAGGAGACATCTTTGTTTAATTCACCAAGAATTTATGGGCTGTTGGTTCTTTCCTTGCAGACCAAAAGTGTACTGTGTTCTACTCTGCCCCCCAAAGAAGCAAGATGGTTTCCAAACTGTGTTCAGAGGATGTGTGCCAGTGTGCAGAAAGTAGGTCATTTCTCTAAGACCCGAACTGACAAACACTCGTGAATAAATGTAGCTTTACCCTTCAGGTTTGTGTAAATAAGTAAAATTGCATTATGTTCATCTTTTCCTTAGGACCCTGTCATAAACTAAAAATGACATTCAAATTGGAAAGAAATCAATATCTGAAAAAGAATGACCGTGTGCAGCATGCTTGCTTCTTCCCTACAGTAGATTACGGTCAGTACTGCACATCACACAATATGATGTAGTATATAATATCAACTGTACTATTAAGATCTCAAATCCATCTTTATATATATTTTTCTTTTCCTAACCAAGCTATGTTTTGGACGAATGGTTGTTAATAACTGGTTTATTCTTGGTATATTTCAGCATACATTGTTGAAGTTGTCAGTGTTTCTGTAAAAAGCAACTTTGAGCTATACAACACTACTGTAACCGAGGTACTCAGATCACGTAAGTAGACCGTAAGCGCAAGCCTGAAGAGATGATGTAACATTGATCTTTAAATGGTTTTGTGCCATTACGTTTAAACAGGGAGGAGCTTTCATAAATATAATGACTGTCATCTGTCCACCAGATGGAGATATACTTGTGAATGAAAATTCTGTTCGAGTCTTTGTTAAGAGGCGTCAATGTAAAGAACAGTTACATTTGGGAAAACAGTATCTCCTCATGGGCAAAGATGGCTCCACAACCGACTCAAACGGAGTGTAAGTATAATCACTAGTACAATAGAAGCATACTTTTACACTGATTGAACCTCATTTTGTTCACTCTCCACTCCTCTTTATGTAGGATGCAGTACCTGTTGGAATCAAACACCTGGGTTGAAAAAAAGCCTTCAGATGAACAGTGTAAAAAATCTGCCCATCAGGCTGCCTGCACAGGGTTTTCTGCATTCATAAATGAGTACAAGATGAATGGTTGCAGACACTGAAACAGATTGAAACAAATCTGTTACAAATCTCAGTTACAATGAGACGCACAGTCAGCATGTATGTTGAGAGTTCTTTTATTAGTGTTTGTGGTATTTTACCTGTGCCTTACTTATAAACTATTATAATCAGTCATCAAATTATAGTAAAAAAAAACATCACCACAAGTATTGAAACATTATTGATGCCTGAATCAGACAGTAGATGGATTCAGCACACCAGCATTTGAAAATGTACTACTTTAGTATAACTGTTAATCATTTCTCTATGTCTAAATCAGCTAGTAGTGTTTAAATAAAAAGCATCTCAGAATGTTCTCTACCAAGTGCCTTCCTATGTGTATTTTTTTTAGTTGGTTGTAGCATACATGTTGAGATAATGACTTGAAATGAAAGTCAACACTGCCACAGAGAAAAAGAGTGCATCCACAAATGTACATTTGCTCTTTCATGTTCCTCCAAATAGTGTTATTCAGTTTGGTGCACCAGTTTGATTTAGCTTCCTTGCTGAATATATTTATTTTTTTAGGTGTTTTTTCTTCTACTGGCAGTAAAGGATCTGAGAGGGGTCTCTGTGCTCACTGCAGCCCCCCTCAAAGTTATCCCCCTCCTTATTTAACATCTGCAAGGTGAGGAAAAAGGGAGAGGGGGAGTGGTTTCGGGTGTATGAGACTGGCTTACTTGCTCCCAGTGAAGTTACACAGTGTCAGGATATGGATCAGTCACCACCTTATAAGTATAAAAGCTCTCTATTAGAGAAAGTTGATATGTCTCCTCTCAAATGTGGTTAGAAACATGCTGCAGAAGATTGTCAGTGCAATTATAATTAAAAAAGTTGTTTAGTTATAGTTAATTGAGAGAGCAGTGATGGGAGAAAACGGGGGGCGATGGGAGGGAGCAGTACAGAAGGAGAAGAAGGGGGGTATGGGTGGAGACGTGAGGAACAAGCAAGGGCTTATGTGCTTATATTATTCTAATCTCTGAGGCTGGGTCCAATGTAAGCAACACGGGAGTACTGACCATCACTTCAATCAAAGCCAGATCAATGGCTGCTCTGTTTCAGCCTTTGCCATCAGACATTTCATTAAATTTGAATCAATAAAGGGTAAATAAATACACAGACGTCAGCATCACACATTTTCATTTTGGGATTACTTTAGTGCACTGCTAGTAGCCAGCGGCAACAGCACATTTGAAAAAAAAGGTCTCCTGCTGTAGCTTCCTCAAAGTAATCAATGGTTTATCATGAGCAAGCAGAGTAGGCTGTCAGGAGCAATATTTTACATTGAAGTTACATTTAAGTTCTCATCTGGTTGTTTATACATTTGCAGATTAGTTATTGCTCTCTGCAACTCAATAAAAAAATAAAAAAATTCTCTCTACAAAGACAGATTGACTGCCGACTGACAGAGATTTATATTCTGGTAGATCTGTGGATTACCACAAGAGATTTACTGTAAATACACATATTCAATGAGTACATGCTCACTTACCTGCTTACACACAAAATATGCTTGAGCAGCAACTGTGAAATTGGCTGGGGAATTGTCAAGTGTGCTCATATGACCAGGTGTATTTTCTTAGGTGTGCTGTAGCCTTAGTAGCTTAAGGTATGTCTCCAGCCATTTTTCCAAAGGCCAAGACAGGGTCAGCGGTTTGAGGGTGGTCTATGGTGCAGAAAGGAGTAGAGTGAAGGCGGAGCTGTTCTTGGAGGCTGCCGCCAGATGGAGGCACTGATGGAGTGGGACCACCCACTCAGGAATTCACACTACACCGACAATTACTCTTTGTTTTTCATCCTAATATCAAAGTGACTTGACCCGAATGCTCTGTTATCAGGGCAGGCCTTTTTCAGATCATTTTACCATTTCACAGCATAATAGCATTAGTATAAATAGTAAAATGAATGACAGCTGAATTACATTTTGCTACTTCAGTTTATACTGTCACACTGTCATGTCTTATGAGGACACTTTGATAGAACAGAACATTGTTAATGTAATTAGAAACACCTGCGCTTTTTCTGCTATGAAACACTGTAAAAAACGGCCCTGGTCAGCTCGTGTTGATGAGATGTTATTTCTGATCACATATTAATGTTATAGAAAGATACAGCACATGTTGTGATAAAGTCATGTGTGTTTGTGTCTGTGTGTGTGTGTGTGTGTGTGTGTGTGTGTGTGTGTGTGTGTGTGTGTGCGTGTGTGTGTGTGTCCAGGTATTACCATGACTCCACCTAACTCCTTGTTGAGGCCAAAAATGGGCCTAATGCGTCTAAACCAAGGCTAATTCATTTTTTGGCTGATTAGCTAGTGTAGTAAAAGAGCACTATTTTATTTCATTTTCCTCTTCCTTTCTTCACCGTCCTCACTTCCTTTCCTTTCCTTATCACTGATTGGCTCTTGTTTTCTCACTCCACCCCTCATTTACATGATAGAGTTCACCTGGGCACCAGAGGATTATTTAATAGCTTCACTCCACTCACTCACTCTTTTTCACCTTCACATGGGGTGGCAGTTTCTGGTAGGAGAAGTTTGTTACTCTGTAGTCCCTATAATTTGTCTGTTAGTCTCAGAGAACCATCTTTATCCTTAATTCTTTAATTTAAGTACATAAATTAGACTATTTTGATTTGTTGTGTTAAATTTAATCTTTATTCTTTATTGTCCTTTCTGAACCCGCAGCCCATGTGTGTCTTCCTTTTTCATGTTTGAAATAATTATCTGAGAATAAAACCTTTGTTGGATTGGATATATGTTTAATGGCCTTTGTTCTTTCATCCTGCATCCTGACCCAATGCCCATGGTGATAGTGAATCAGTTCTGAACCTCCTACTTAACAGCTAGTTAATAAGTTAAGCTAAGCTAACAAGCTGGGTATGGTGTGCACAGAGACCGATACCTGCTAATTATTGCTAACATTCTGTTAGCTAATTAACTGCACAACAACCTGTATTATTTGTCTGATATTTGCATGAAAAATCCTCCAAAAGGCAGCAGTGCCACACGGCTGCGAGGTCACGCTTGTTATTCACCAGTTTATTGTCTACTATACTATACCTGCTATGCTGTAATAGTGTGCTGTAAGGTTAGTTGTCTTTCAGTATCAGAACATGGTGTTCTTGCCAAGAAAAACTTGCTACCTCAACACATTTGCAACTAAAATACCTATGAGTAAATATATTTTTTACTGTGGGTTCTTATATCCCCACACTGCAACATGTATAGAGTCAGTGCTGTATATTCAAGAGTAAGAATATGAGAGAGTTGTTTCTTCAGCATTAGCCAGAGTTTCACAGCAGTCATGCAAAATAGTTTTGCATGCTCACCGCCTATAATCTCAGGGCAAAAACAACATATATCTACATATATATACATATATATGTATATATATGTATATATATTCTGTATTGTCTAATCTATCTATCTATCTATCTATCTATCTATCTAGATAGATTAGACAATACAGCAGAAAGAAAAACTACACATTCGGCAGATTTATGCAAGGTGAGTGATCATCACGTTCATCTATCTTTTATAATAACTATCAGTAAGCACTTTGTATCTTTAAAGGCATGGTCATGCAGTGATATAAACTTTTGATTTGGCTCTCCTGTAAAATTAGGAAAATGTCACTTATGTGCTATTTGCTCTAGGCCCTTGATAAACTTGTCTTCATGTGGTTTACAAAAGGTGGGATGGTGGGTGGCCATTTGGTCAGAGATGCAGTGCCTTCACAGAGCATTTCTTAAATCTGGTGGATATTTGGTCACTTACATAACTCCCACGTAGTTACATCTCATTACTTCCAACAAACAGCCAATTCATATAGCGAGAGGTTCCTGTCCCCCAGAGTCAGCACTGAATACCTGCAGTGTTATGCTATGTATTCCAGCTGAATCATGATTCTCGAACCAGGGCTTTATTCAATCAAAGACTGTGTCTAGGTGTTAGTAATGTCTGGAATAAGTCAAGTTACATACAGCAGACACTGAAATGAGCCATGAAAAGCTGAAACATGCAGGCTATTTTTGTGTGCCACAAAACGGCACAAAAACTCCCTAATGTCCTACAGTGTACTGTATGGTTTGAGACTGATCAGTCTAAAATCTGTAATTATTCAAACAGATTTTTATTTTTTATTTTTATCTTTTAAACCAAAACACATGACCTTGGATCGTTTGTTTTGTTAAATCTACCATTTTTGTTATATCTAACAGAATACAAGAGAGTAGTTGATCATATTACACAACTTCAACATCATATATACACAAATCTGTATAAAAATGTCACTCTTTTTGTAAGTCCAATACAAATATTTTCCATGGTGGTGTAGAGAGTGGGACCACTAGGCGTGGAAGAGGGGGGGTCCTTAAGTAGGAGCGGACTTTATCACTCTCCTCCTTTCTAGTGGTGGTCCTTTCTCTCACCTCTTTCCTCCCTGGTCATATCCAGCAAGTCTATGTGAGCTTTTCCAATCAGATGGAGGGAGCAGCACAAAGACAGAGATAAAGCCAAGAACAAATTCATTGCTCTGGTAAGTAATTTACTTTTCCATTAAATTTTTTATTTATCATGATCTCAGAGTGGTAACTGCAGTCATTTGAATGAATGGACTCCACTGAATACTCTACTTTGATGTCTGTATCCCTTTAAATCACACTGCCTTTATAGAGGATAGCAGAATATATTTTCAAGGTTGTGACTGATAAAATTTTGTGCTCTTGTTAAATATTGTGTTTTAGCTGCAGAAAGACACTTTAATACTGATGACATGTATTTTTTAGTGGACACATATTGGGTAATATTGTAAACGTTTAAACCAAAATTTTTACTTTTCATTCTATGACAACTAATGCTGTAGGAGTCCCCATTCATTTTGTTAATACTGCAGCCACGTAGTCAATCAATCCATTAACTCCAATGCAATGTTTAAAAACTGGCTTACAGTGTAGCAAAGCATCTGAATGTTTACCTGCTGCATGATTTATTTGATTTTCTACAGATTTAAGGCCAAGGCTGGACATAGTCCCCTTAGTGGTTTTATGAGTAGTGAGTGCAGCGGATTATGTAACCTTCTGTATAGTGAAAGACGTACAGTGTCCCACAGTTCTATACAGTGACGCTCTGTTACCACTCTGCATAGTCTCTCCAACAGACTCTCTGGATTTCCCGCTCAAGTCACCTTCTTCCTTCCTGTTCCGAATCAGCTAATTTAGACGTTACTTGGTTTGGCAAGCAACTGAATTAACTATTATGGCTGATTGGAACACTCCTGCAACTTTTCAACTTAATGTTTGTTCTTCACTTTTATTAGTGTACCACCATATACAGTTTAAAAACTTTTATTTTTTTTATTTCTCATGAAAGTTTTGTTTAGTTTGTGGAATTTAAAACTGTATCAGTGAAGTGAGATTGTTTGTTTACTCAATTTTTCCCAATATCTTTCACTGATACTCAGGTAAAATTGAGTTAGCTAAGCTAATATAAAAGAAACATATATGACATATATGATGTATATGATAAGGCTGTTCCTTGTCAGGTCACTTTTGAGCAAGGCACAAAACCTGAAATTTCTCCAAGTGTGGCTTTTCAGTAGGCAGTTAAATGGGAGCAGGGGAGCATATAAATGTGAATGGGAACTCTGTGAATGTTAAACTAGCCAGTGCTGAAAAAGGATTATGTATGCTCAGCAAAGCCCTTCTTGGGGTATAAAAAAGGTCTAAAATGTTTTGGCATAAAATTTCCTGCATTGAACTAAGTCATAATTCAGCTCTTTCATTTTGTCATTTCTAGGAGAGACCTGGCAAATTCTCCTTTACAAGTGGTCACAGAAATATAGAGGAAGGAGTTCATAATTTTACAGTAACATACATACAGATCCTCCAAAGGCAATACCATCGCTGGCTACTGCTGCTGGCTCAAAATGCTGTTTACTCTAGGACTTCTCCTCCTTCTCACCCCATTTCCCTCCTTTCAAACCACGACCAATGAGAAGAGAGACTCCACAGGAAGCGACGTGACCAAACCCAATGCCGTTTTCACCCCTTCAAAACCAAAAACCACTTCTACTCTTGCCAAACAGACCGTTCGCCCCACCTTAAAGCCAAACACAGTCAATCAGACAGTTTTACCCACTCTAGCCACCAACCAAAAACCTCCAATAGTCAATGCTACAGTGACCACCAAAAGCAAGGCCAGCCCAGCAGTAATTCAAACCACTCCGTCGGCAGCAGTAAAGGCTGCTACAGCCAGTGGCACCATCACCAACAAAGACAAGCACACAGTCTCAGTCAATCAAACAGTTTTAGCTAAATCTCCTTCAGCCGGTGAAGTGAAGGCTAGTAAAGAGAAGCCTGCCCCCACTGGAGCTCACAATGTTCAGTCTACACCCACAAAGCCTGCTTCAGCTAGCAGTGCTAAAACCCCCAAAGATAAAGTGCAACCTTCAGTCAATCAGACTGTTTCAATGAAATCTCCTTCAACCAGTGATGGGAAGATCGCCAAAGACAAGCCTGTCCCTACCGTAGTTCAAAATGTTCAGTCAACATCCACAAAATCTTCTCCTGCCAGAGGTTCTAAAACCACCAAAAACAAGCCCACAGCCTCCGTCAATCAGACTGTTGTAGCTAAACCTCCCTCCACGAGTGATGTGAAAAACTCCAAAGACAAACCTGCCACCAATGCAGTTCAAACTCCTCTGTCAACACCAGCAAAGGCCACTACAGTAAGTGGTTCTGCAGCCGACAAAGATAAGGTCACTCCCTCTGCCAATCGGACTGCTGTTATCAAGGCTCCCACCACCACCATCACGAAAGAAAAGCCTGCACCTTCACAACCAATCAAGGTGGTGATCAGTGAAGGCTGTGACTCAAGCAAAGCCAAGGAGCAGGAGCTGAAGCTGAAGCCTGGCGCTCCTCTGGTGATGACGCATAAGATCAGCTTGTTGCCTGGTGGCTGCAAAGGCGAATGTGAGTCTGAGATGGCTGCACTGAAAGGACGAGTTGCCCGACTGGAAAAAGAGATGTCCCTCCTAAAAGAGAAATGTATGATTCAGTCACATTCACCAGGTTACTATATTTGACACAGTTCCTTAGAGATGTTGAATTAATAATTCTGGTTATATTTGTGGCTGCCCAGGTCCATGTTCTGCAAATTGTCAAGATGACTGTAATGGCAACGGGGAATGTGAGAAGGGGAAATGCATCTGCCATCAGGGGTTCATGGGTCCAGACTGCAGTAAGTGTGCCCAAGGAAACGAGTGTAATAAAAGTAAGTGAGTCTGCACTGTTATTTGGATGAATATTATTTTTTATTTGCCTTTTGACTAATATTTCAGTCATACTTTGATCTCAAACTCTACTCTGAAATTTCAGAAGCTGCCAAAGGCAAGGCCAAGGAAACAGTGGAGATAGTGACCCTGCAGAAAAAAGAGCAGAAGAAGGAAACTGAAGCCAAAGAGTATGACAGCAAAGCCAGAGTGGTCACTAATGCTAAACCAGGTCTTGTTAAAACCCAAGCAAAACAAGACGTTTCTGTCAAGAAAATAACCATAAAAGGTTCCTCAAGTGCCATAAAGACCAGTCGCCCAACAGTTGCTCAAGTTCTCCTGAAACATGAGGGAAAAAAGCAAGAAGAGGCTCGCAAAGGCAAAACAACAATACTGGCCTCTAAAAAGGTTGTCCAAAAAACTGACCTCAAGCTTGTTAAAGAAGGAACTGCCAGTAAAATGTATCCTAAATCTGACCAACTGAAAGATGAGCCTCATACCAATGTAACCCAGGGTAATGTGAAGAAATCTAATGGCACAGCTAAAATTGTGACCATTCTGTCCAAGGGCATGGGAACAAACAAAACCAGAACAGGAAAGGAGACAGTGGAGCAATCCACACTGGCTGAGAAGAATGTTACTCAATCATCTGGACATAAGCGCATTAAGACAGTCAAAGGAGATACTATAATTGTGCAATCTGTTGACAACAGAAACACCGAAGCTGTAAAAGGGAAAGTTACACAGAGGAGTCAGTATGTAGTGAATGCAACCATAACTTCAACATCAGACGAGGCTCGAGCTCTGCAGAACAAAACAAGTGTCCATGGCTCTGGGATGAGCAGGGGGATGGGTGGATCCGGATTAGGTTCTGTGAAGGTTGTGAACATTTCCTCCTATAGCTTCACCGTCACATGGTCAGCACCACAAGGCATGTTCAAGAATTTCACTGTGATCAGAAGAGAGCCAAGAGCAGAGGGAGATGAAGACGACCACGAGGAGTTTGAAGAGGAAGTTATTGAAGGAGACAAGATCCCCGCAGCTAAGAACCCAGCTGAGGTCCTGGTACAGACTGAAAGCACTGACGTAACTGTCTCCTCTGGTAAAGTTGTCGGATCAAAAGGTAAAGCTGAGACCAAGAGGATCTCCATGGTGGTCCCTGGCAGTGTACGTTCTGTGGAATTCAGTAACCTTCGGGCAAACACGCGCTATGTCCTGCACATATATGGTGCTGGTGCTCAGAGAAGATCAAAAATTCACAGAGTAACTGCAGTTACAGGTAATTAAAGTTGTACCACATTCATCATTTATACCTAATTCCTCCAATACTACCAGGAACAGTACAGAGATCAATTTATACAATCTGCCCAAAAATGTGAAATACAATCACCTTATTTTCTCTCACTAGGTCCTGAGCCAGCCACAGAGATGGTTTTCAGCAATGTAACAGAGTCCTCTCTCACTGTTTCCTGGTCCAAACCAAAGACCATATTCACAGGCTTCAGGGTCACATATACCAACATTGTCACAGGTCTGTCAAAGGCTACCTATAAACTGCAGGTCATAATTCCCTGGTTTAATGTCAGCCATTGTCATTCTTTTATTAGGAGTGTTAAGTGTCTAATTTTGATTTTTATGATGTATCCTGCTAGGGGAGAGCCGCTTTGTGGTCGCGGACTCTCAGCAGTCTTACATGGCTGTGTCCAAATTGTCTGCTGGGTCCTCTTACATTATCTCTGTAACTACCACACATGGCAGAGCCCAGAGTGACGCCCTCGTGTCCATTATCACCACAGGTACACAGTTAGATAAGCTCACTGTTATGTAAAAATACTTTTTGGTTGTTATTGCATGTGTAAACAGCAATAAACATCCTATTGTCTCTTGGCTGCAGTTCCCGCCCCTCCAGCACATCTTCAAGTTGTCAATGTGACAGACACCAGAGCTCTGCTGCAATGGACTCCCAGTCTGGGGAAAGTAGACCGCTTCATCATCAGCTATGAGTCCTCCAAGAGTGAGTGTGGTGACATTAGTCTAATGACCTATGACAAAACGCTAATGACTACACTAAGCGTTATTAATTCTCCCTCTTACCACAGCTCCTAATGTGACAGTGACAGTGATGGTGTCTGGGAACTCAGTGGAGCACCAGCTGAGAGGTCTGCAGAGAGGCACCTTGTACACAGTCAAGGTCCTGAGCCAGAAGGACAGTCTCCAGAGTATGGCCATCTCAACTACATTCACTACCGCTAATGGTGAGTAGAAAGTGGAAAAATAAAGTTAGATCAGTGCTGTTTACTCACTAAGGTCTACAGAATTGGTGTGTAAAGTGTGTGAACTAAATGCTTGTTGTGTCCCTCAGTGGTTAAAGCCAACGATGTGGGCACTCGCTCTGCGATGATAATGTGGAAAACGTCCACTGTTGTGTATCACAGCTACAGAATCATCTATCAGGTGGCAGGAGAAGAGACAAAGGTGAAAAATATTCCTCCATTGCTGGCACATGCAATACAAACACACAACTTTTACAGGACTGTCGAAACAATTAACTTTGGGTGTGTTTCTGCATATACATTAGGAGGTGATCCTGGACTCAACCATCACAGAGTATAAGCTGACAGGGCTGTTACCCATGTCACGCTATATAGTTCTGGTACAAGGAGAAAGAGATGGACACTACACATCTGTCGTCACCACAGAATTCATCACAGGTAATGGATGTAAAGTAATGCAGCCCTTGCATGGTTATTTGCCCCATTAATATTCATTGATTAATCATCCAACTAATTCTTTTTTCCATTCTTTAGGTAAACTACGATTCCCTTTCCCTACTGAGTGTTCTCAGGAGCTGCTGAATGGAGCTCTGCAGTCAGGAGAGGTGGACATCTACCCACAAGGAAAAGAGGGACATGCGGTCAGAGTCTACTGTGACATGGAGACTGATGGAGGCGGCTGGACGGTGAGATAAACTGCAGTTAATTGAGTGAAACGTTGCAATTAAGACATGGCAGAATGGGTTTAGAAAGTAGACAACAATCTAGTGTGTGTTTCTAGGTGTTCCAGAGGAGGATGAATGGAAAGACAGATTTCTACAGAACCTGGAGTGAATACAGCGCTGGCTTTGGAAACCTGAGTGAAGAGTTCTGGCTCGGTACAGTTGGGAACAAACACTTATTACTATCATATCTGTATCATAATAATATTCAGTAAATCAGCCTAATCTACGTGCTTTTTCACGTCACCTACATCAGGAAATGAACTTCTTCACAACCTGACCAGTGTCGGCCCTGTGAGTCTGAGAGTGGACATGCGATCTGGAAATGATACAGCTTACGCTCACTACGCCAACTTCTCCATCGATACAGAGGAGAGGCACTATACTCTTACAGTGTCCGGCTACACAGGAACTGCAGGTGAAAACTGTATAGGTGTTGAACTTTCCTGAACATGTGCAGTATAGGCTTTATTATACAGCAAATGCCTGACAATTCATACTGTAATTTTGCTGTATTTCCCTGTAAGGTGACTCTATGAAGTACCATAATGGGCGCCCATTCTCAAGCCGGGACAAGGACCCAGATCCTCTTGGGCTCCACTGTGCCAGGGCCTACATGGGAGGCTGGTGGTACAAAAATTGCTACAAGACCAACCTCAATGGTCTTTATGGCATCAACAGTAATAATCAGGTATGACTGGTCTCCAATGAATTTTACACAGTTTTTATCTTTTGTGATACGACACACTGACCAAATAGCATCATTTTTCTCTCTCTTGCTCTGAAACAGGGAATAGTCTGGATCGACTGGAAAGGTAAAGACTCCTCCATTCCCTTCACTGAGATGAAGTTCAGACCATCCAGGTTCTCCCCTGCAACTCATGGCTAAGAGTACATCAACCTTCATGGGCTCTCCATCCGTAAAACCTTATATCTGACACAGAATTAGAGCTCGGGGAATCCAGAGGAGGGTGGTTCTCACAGTTGCTGCATGTCACTTTTCAAATGAAATTGCAGTGGTTTTGATAGCTATGACAGCTATCAGTACATTTGATTCAATGTGTAAGATGTTTTTCAAGCTGTTTTTTTTTTGAGGTAATATACCAAAAGAGTGGAGAAAGGTTTTTAATTGCAACTTTTTGTATACTGTTCTACTGTTCTGCCTGACCCGTCCATTTCAACAAAGCTTTGTTTTGACTCTAATACCTTCTTGTGCACCGCCATGCCATGGTATGTCACCCCACTACTACTGTAATTAAATATGCACTGTCTCACTCCATTTTAATAAATGTGGCTAATGTGGGTCTCAAGTGTTGTTGTTTCATTGTGTAATTCCCCCTGCACTCTTTCTACAAGATAAACAAATGTCAGTATGACTGCCTATGTCAACTGTGTTGTCTTGCCCTTCAGCAAGTCCCAGCCATGTTTATCAGGCTGTTTCTTGTTCAGTGTGTTGCAGTCATCTCATAATCAGAAAACTTGACCCAAAATATTTAGATGTCCTTGATTTTAGTAAAAACACCAACAAGCTGACATGATAAGAGACTGTTCAGACGACTATAAATGGGACGAGCAGTGCGATGACCAGCTTTCTGAAGTGGGACACCAGCAAGGAGCCACAAAATGGCAATAGAAATATCAGTGATCAGTGTTGGAGCAGTATTTCTAGTTGTTGTGCTGTTCACGGTGCTGACCTACATTTCTGACCGGAGAGGCAGAGCTGTACAGGCAGATCACAAGAGAAGCAAGTCTACAGGTAAATATGTATTTGTTGTCTTCATATGTATATTTGACCATGCTGGTTCTATTTCAGTTTCATAAAAATGTAATGATTAATGAATGAGACAGTTATTCCATACATGGATAACTAGAACACTTGATCACAGATCTTCATTTTTGGTCAAATGGGTTCATATAATTTGTAACCATCCTCTCTATTTCTTCTAACTCGATCTAGGAGCTCAATCTGGACTCCTGAACTATCTCTATCAGTACCTTCCCTGCTCCTCATCTCCCTCCCTCCCAGGTCCTCCTCGCCTCTTCCTCATAGGCAACATGATGGAGCTGACACATGATCATCTGCCAATTCATTTGACCAATCTCGCACAACGCTATGGAAATATTTATCAGCTGAAATGTGGAAACACAAGTAATCATCCCATTTTAGACTTCTTGTTTTTATTTTTTATTTTACTGTATCACAGGCTCACATAAAAACAAGCAAATCACTTAGGAAAATGCTGTGGACAGTGAGGTTACAATACCCCGTTTTGTGTTTTTTCCAGCCATGGTGGTACTTAATAGTAATGAAGTTATAAGAGAAGCACTGGTGAAGAAATGGTCTGACTTTGCAGGGAGACCAATTTCATACACAGGTAAACAACTTAAATTTAAACCTAAACAATTATTGATATGTTATTTTATGTCCTTATAACCTCTACTGACATGTATTAGGTGATACTGTGTCTGGGGGAGGGCTATCCATCTCTCTGGGGGACTATAATGAGGAGTGGAGGGCACATCGTCGCTTCGTCCACAGTGCTTTGCAGCGTTGCTGCCAGAAATCTTTGCATGACGTGATTGAGAGACAGGCCCTGCATCTGCGAAAGGTACAGATGGCAGAAGGAACAGATTGTACACCAGTATCTATCTAAATAAATGGAGACAATGAGATAGCAGAGATCCAGACTGCAAATCAAATGTTGGGGTCACATAAAAGTGGTCACATAAAAAAGATAAAGCTTGCTTTCTTCATTGTTTAGGTTTTGATGGACTATAAAGACAGTGCTGTAGATCTCTCAGAGGATTTCACAGTGGCAGCCAGTAATGTCATCACCACTTTGGCTTTTGGAAAGGAAGTAAGTACTTTTCCTCTCATGGTTCAGTTTAAAAAGAGTAGTGGTTTATAACAAAATCTGCTTTTCAGCAATGAACAGTTGTGATTGTGGAAGAGCACTGTTTATGCAGGGACCTGGGGAATTCCACTGTTTATGTTGCCTTTTTTTTAGCAGCTTCTATTACATAGGTGCATTCATAATGTGCTATTTAGTGACTGAACAGTGCATTTCAGTGGCAGGACATATTAAAAACACAAATCTCTGTGTTCCCTAGTATGACAAGAGTTCTTCAGAGCTGCAGCAGCTGCACTGCTGTTTAAATGAGATTGTTGCTCTGTGGGGCTCCTCTTGGATTTCTGCTCTGGACTCCTTCCCACTGCTAAGGGTCAGTAAATATTAACCAACCTGACTTTAGATCACAGAATACTGACTGTCAATAACTTTTAGATTGGGATTTTCACACATTGTGACATCTATTCTCTCAAAGAAATTCCCAAATCCTGTGTTTTCCCGTCTCCTGAAAGAGGTGGCCAGGAGAGATGAAATCATAAAACAACATCTCAACAATTACAAGGTTCATAAAAACAAATGTCAAATAACATGTCATTGGTTTGAAAAACATCTAATAGAGAGGTGTAATTAGCTCAGATCAGCTCATTGGTTAGAAAAATGTTTGGTGTGGCTTAGTGATTAGATAACAGTAGATTAGACAACACTCTTTGAAAATGTATTCAGAATAGTTGGCAAATCCCAGCTCTGCTTTGTTCATTTTTATCAGCTGTCGCTTTGTTATCTGTGCAGTCGCAAGACAAAAAAAATGAGGACGTAATCACAGGATCCCTCCTCCAGGGTCTTGACAAACATCACAACACAGAACATGGAGTGGTAAGGTCATTTAACAGTGAATAGCAGGGAAGATCAGTTTGAAATGTACTGGAAGCAGAGTATGAGTTGGATTTGAATCGTCTGTATGTTATCCTTCTCCTGTCTCCAGCTCCTTACAGAAACTCATGTCCACATGGCCACTGTGGATCTTCTCATTGGGGGAACAGAGACCACTGCAGCTTGGCTGAATTGGACTGTGGCTTTCCTTTTGCACAGACCAGAGGTAGGGCACATTTATCCAACAATACCTTAAAACATGACATTTACACAGCCTGAAGTTGATCTCATTATATCTGTCCTCTCTTATATTAATCTTCAGGTGCAGACCAGGGTGCATGAAGAGTTGTGCACAGTGCTAGAGGGACGATACCCCAAGTACAGTGACAGACACAGGCTTCCCGTCCTGTGCTCTTTGATCAGTGAGGTGCTCAGACTCAGGCCAGTTGCTCCGTTGGCGGTGCCACACAGAGCCATCAGAGACAGCAGGTCAGCTATGCTACGGGGGGAAAAAAGTGCAAAAAATACCACACCCAAAAAGAGTGACGTGTGATTGAAAACATTTTTCATAATTTTCATAAGATACTTTTTTAATTTCTATTAGTTAGAGGCTTTTATTGTTAAGGCTCCAAGCATTTGTACAGGTTGATACACTAAATCTGGCACATCCCCACATTTCTCCCAGTTTTTAAACTTTAAAACAGTGAAATATTACATATTTGGCACTTCTACCTTAAAGCAACGGAATAGATAACCGATAGCCTGGGAACCTCAGTAAAATGTTGCTATCATTACCCTGTGCAGTATGTAAGTATGTTGTTATACCAATATATTTCACTTGAGGTGAGGCTTTACATTAACCTGAAATGCACCAGATTTCTAGTTAAGTCTTTGTCAGTGAGAAAGTAAACACAAAGGCCACACATTTGCACGTACACTAATTTTGTGTTGTTGTGCTGACATCTGCTGTATCTTTCTTTGGACATGTAACATTTTAGCCACTTTTCACTTTGCATTATGGCAAATGTATAATCCCCACATATATTTAGTATTGCAGGTTACTTCATCCCTAGGAACACAGTCATCATTCCTAATCTTTTTGGAGCTCACCATGATCCTGCAGTTTGGACTGACCCGTACAGCTTCAGACCAGGTACTGCTCTGACTGATGGGCGAAGTGCATTCCTTTCACTTGGCTCAGCAGACTTCAAATAAAGTTGCTACTATCTCTCTCTGTCTCTCCCCTTCAGAGCGTTTTCTGGATGGAGGAGGAGGTTCCACCCGTGCCCTGATCCCTTTCGGAGGAGGGGCTCGGCTCTGCCTGGGGGAGTCTGTTGCCAAAATGGAGCTCTTTCTGTTCACTGCCTATTTGTTAAGAGATTTCCAGTTCATCCTTCCTGAGGGTGAGGCCGCTCCGCCCGACCTGAGAGGAGTTGCTAGTGTTGTGCTCAAGGTCAAGTCCTACACAGTTATAGCACATCCAAGACCTGTGACTAATCCCTGAAGTGCAGAAGGTGTACTGATTACTTGCTGCTTCAAAGTTAGTGTGCAAATGAATGATTTGTTAAACTTAAACATATAAATATAATCATAGAACCTTCACATGTATGTTTATCATCAATACTCCTTCTGTTTGTATGCAGTTATTGGATATCCTTATTAAAATTACCTGTTAATGGATGCATTATTTATTTGATCAATGTTAGATAACATGTCTAAATCCAGGTATGTATTTCACTTTGATTAGGCAACACAAACTGCATTATTAGTATCTGTGTTAATTATAAAATTATATACATATTAATAATGGTGGAGAGGGGAAATTACAAGGATGGTGAAGTGGGTGATCAGATTTTCTCCAGAAAGGAAACTGAAACTGAGGAGCCAACAGAGTGAGCACGGTTCATGTGAAGAATATCTGTCATAGAGTCTGACAGCACCACCCAGTGGACAAACACTGAACATGCTACTAAAAGTGATAAATTCCTCTCAGTGGAAAATAGTATGTTTTTACTCCTCATCACTGACTAGGAGGCAGGTCTTGTAAAAGTATTTGCATTTTCACCATCATCTGCTGATAGATAACATTGATACAACAAACTTCTATTTGCTTGAACGTGTGACACACAGGAAAATTTTTTCATGAAAAACACAAAGACAGAACACGACACGAATTTATATATTGGCTATAGAATTGCATGAACACGGGTTCCTTTCAGGGGCTGGTCTTGACTGAAAAATTAGTTGCCTCAATGTCATTTCCTGAAATGTGTTTCTGAAAACTTCTGCTATCAGGGGATTTAGCAATAAGCAAGAAAATCTGCAAGAGGAGACCTTCTGAGAGAAGGATGATTTCTTTTTCTTTGCTAGGACTCTGTCTCCTTTCTCTTACAGTGGCAACAGCTGGAGCTCAGTCATCTGGTAATTATGTTACGTCTCTTGTTAATCTGTCGTATGTTTGTTTAAGAATATAACTTAAGAGTGCTCATCTACTGAATGAGGTATTTTAAAAGATTCACTGTTAAAATGATTTAAACTGAAACGGTGCAGTACAAACTACTTGAAACTTGAACAAAAAAGTGAAAATATCAGCTGTATTCATAAATGGGTTAAGGGTCACCAATTTCCCATATTTTAATTGATATTATATATATACTGATATTATAGTTCTAAACATTGCTCTGGCAAAGGTAAATTAGTTTTTTTGAGAACTACTGACTTGGGAAATTAAATGCTTCTTTATCATCTTCTTCAACAGATCATTTGGTGATGTTTGCCTTACCCAGAGACAGTATTACTTTGCCATGTGGCATCCCCTCTGTTAGATCCTGCTCCTCTATCAACTGGAACATGACTGGCGAGTTTGGTTCAGTTACTGAAGTGGTGAAGGCTGGACAAGTGACAGCTCCAGACGTCCCCCGGCACGGCCTGCTGAAGGACTGCTCTCTGGAGATTAATCGCCCTGTACGCAATGATGCACGACTTTACACTTGTGGCAGTGGAGCACTCAACTCAAGTGTTTCACTTCAGATTCTTGAACGTAAGTAAATTATCCTGTTACCTCAAAAAAGATTCTTGAACAAGTTAATAGCAATATCACAGCAGTCACATGATGTTTTTTTTTCATTCACCAGTTGCTGAGAACTTAGATGCTGCGGAGGGCACAATAGAACTTCACTGTTTCCTCAACACATATAAAGGACTCTTCCACTGTCACAACACAGGGATACATATCAAGTGGAGTACTGATGATAATACACCGATAAATGGAAATAGATTTCGCTTTGAAAACCCCACTGAATGCTTCTCTAAACTGATTATCAATAAAAAACTGACAGATCATCTCAGAAAATGGAAATGCCAACTATCTCAGAATGATGTGGTTAAAGCCACCGTCAGTTATACAACAATAACAGGTAGTAAAATGTGCTCAGTCCTAAAGAGAGATGTGTGGTTTAATATGTACAAAGTGTAACCCGTGCTCCCTTTGCCCCAGATGGCGAAGAGGAAGTGTTTGCTGCAGTGGGTGAGTCAGTGTCACTCTCTTGTAGCAATGCTTCCTCTCTTGGTGTAAGAGGCAGCGTGGAGTGGGCTGCGGGTGGAAAACCACTATCAGATGGCACCTCACACAAAAAGGGCCAATCAGAGGCGTTTCCTGTTAATGAGGACTCATCACTGTTCATTAGGAAAGTGAGTGCTCTGAATGCTGGGGACTACCAGTGTTCAGAGTCCAGTGAGCAGAAAAAAGTGTTAAACAAAATCAGACTGCACACCCTCGATGGTGAGTGTTCAAACTCCAGAAGCCAGAGCCAGAACATAAATTGTGCCACATTAACTTTGCCCCTGCTATTAAAACATTATTTATTCCTATGTTTGTCTTTGCAGTTACTCCACAGTGTGGGCCAGGAGGAGAACACCTCACCTTGACTTGTGTGCTTACCTGCACTGAACAATGTGACAAAGACTTCAATTTAACTTGGTCTGGAAGTAGCCAAAATAGCTGGCAGAGCAATTTAATGAATGACAACAACACTCTTAAAAGCAAACTAGTTCTCCCAGTATGTTCAATGAGATCTGAAGAAATAACCTGTATTGTGCAAAGAGAGGGTGCTGTGATGGCAGCAAAGAAGTGGCCCTCTGTTAACTGTAAGTATGCATCATGCTGTAATTGTTCTCCTGAATAAAACCCACACGAGACAAAAATGCACCCTTGTTTCTGAAACTGGGGGAAAATGATTATAATTCAATGTCCCCAGCTTTGCAAACACCTGCATGGTTAGCCCTTCCTCTCAGCCTCCTGATGTGTGCAGCTGCTGGAGGACTCTACATGTGCATGAAGAGAAAGCACAACAGGGATGCAGGTACTAATTCTGGTTAAAGAACCTCACATCCAAACTACAGCTATCATGATGAAATGATGATGAAAGTGAAATGTTACCTGAATGGCTGATGATATCTCTGTTTGCAGCAAATGAACAGTCGAGTATTGGAATGGTAAGAGGAAATACTTAAGACACAAAAAGATAATGGTGCTGAAACATTTTTTAATGCTGATATATCCTAATAAAATAAATATTGTTTTCTTCTCCAATTTTTCTTCACAGACTCATGTTTATGATGTAATTGAGGATGTAAGTGCGGAGGGACTACAACAGCAAACACAATCTAACAGAGAAGCATCCACCACCACTGACAGTTTCTATGATTTATTGCAAGCTGTAAACTAGAGCTAAAGAGAAGTGTGTGTTTTTGTCTCCATTTTAACTTTGATTAAATCATTTAACCACCATCAATAAACTAACAATTTGTTTTCTAAAACCAGCGTCAGTATCTATGATCATTCACCATCCTGCAGATACAAATTCAACTTGGATAAAAGATTGTCTTGAAAGATTTAATTGTAAATATGACTCCAGTTCATTTAAAATTACAGATGATTGATCTATTAATACAAACTGGGTGATAAGTTACTCTTCTTTTCAAGACAAACTCAAACACTCTATAGTTTAGTAGATGTCACATTTTTACATAATGCATAAATGTAAGCAGGTAAAATTTCAATTTCACAGGGAAAATCTTTTTCTTGAGGAGACTGAAAAATGTTAATATTGTACTGTTAATAATGTGCTAAGTTAATGTGATGAGTATTAAAATATGATTTTTATAAAAGTAGCTATGATTTGATAATAGTTGTACTATTTAGAAGTACACATGCTTTCATCCTCAAATTGATGAGATACACTGTTGAATCATTGCTTTGAAGGATCTGGGAGATGGTGGTGAACAAAACTGGAGGTGTCATGGTGGCTGGACCATAAAAGGTAATGAGAGAAACATAGTGCGCACCATCCGAAGATGTAGGACTCACATTCTCATGCTGATCAACAGACTATGTAAGTGTACCTGATTAACAACAAGAGAACAAGCAGCTGTATGAAAATTTCATTAAACTGCAATGATGTAAAACAAGCTGCTATACAACTTCTATACATTTCGTTGCAGTAATTAGAACTGTTGTGCCCATGACAACATCCCTAAGTTCATAAAGGAAATTTGTATAACGCCATTTGTTGCTGGTAATAATATCAAATATAAAAGGATATGAACTTTGTTAAAACAACTTTGAGTTTGACCATATATGTAATTACATCTGTGCCAAGCACTGTGACTGCCACTTGCAGTCTGAATATGGTATACAATATATAATATCATGGTATATTAAGGCATAAAAGGTCATAAAAAGGTCATAGTATGGTAAGGAATTAAACAACATAGTATATTAAAGCGTAAAAATAAAAAAAAAACCTCATACTATATTATGGTATAAAATGTCAAAAAAATATCATGGTATATTAAGGCATAAAAGTTCACAAAAAGGTCATAGTATGGTAAGGAATGAAATGACATAGTAAAGTAAGCCACAAAAATGTGATAAAACGTCATAGTATAGTATGGCATAAAACGTCGAAAAAAACATCATAGTATATTAAGGCATAAAAGGCCATAAAAACGTCCTAGTATGGCAAGGAATTAAACGACATAGTATATTAAAGAATGAAAATTCAAAAAACCTCATACTATATTATGGCAAAAAAAATGGCAAAAAACATCATAGTATAGTATGGTACAAAATGTCAAAAAAACATCATGGTATATTAAGGCATAAAAGGTCATAAAAAGGTCATAGTATGGTAAGGAATTAAACAACATAGTATATTAAAGCATAAAAATT